GAGAACAATGGGGAAAGAAGGGAAAGAGTTTATAGTTAAGAATATGGGAAAGAGAACACGATTTACAGGTGTAAATTAGAAATGTCGCTTTGATTGAACAATAAAAAATTTAGCGCAAAGTATTATGATGTATCCATATAAATTTGAAGTATCGAGGACGACAACGTTTTAAAGACTTTTGAGAATCAAATTCATAAGCATGTATATTTATCTGAGAAAAAGACATGATAAAAATTAATCTCTTAGTGTCTTTTTTTAAACAATTTTAATTAAAATAACGGACATATCACCCACGAGTTGTTTGAAGTTCTAGCTTATGATTTATTAATAAGCTGGAGAACCGGCCTTTGTCAACTGGAAATGGGCAAACCAGGGAGATTTTTCTGGGACGTTCGTATTTTAATAATTGAAAAGTAAAAAAAAACCACCAAATCTATGATCGAAGTTGATTTGATCGTCGGAAATAAAGCAGGGAAAGATTTATTTCGAAGACGGTGGACGATTCAAAATTTTCTGGGCTCAGAGAGAACTCCAAACTACTTTTGTACAGAAGTTTCGATCCTCCAAAAACTCTTTTTTAGCCTACTATCATAGTGATCGAGCCAATTCACAATATGTTCAATTTCTAGGGAAGGTAATGATTAATTCCAAATCCTTGGTAAGAAGAGTGAATTAAACCCAAATGGCTATTAAAGGTTTCATACACAATAACTCCAACCTTCTTCCCACTCTGCGCGTAGGTACGATATATAGTTCTTTTAAAAAAAGGAAGTAGTTGGCAGTCAATGTGATTAAGCTACCATAATCTTTGATAAAACAATGTATATCATGAAACCGGCTGAACAATATCCTCCCTTAAACAGACAATGATTCTTCCCCTAAAGACACGTGGCCAACGTACGACTGAAAATAATTCAAGATTTGTTTCTACTTTGGTAAGAGGAACCCTGATTTATCAGGAACATCTTTAAAACTTCTAGCTCTTAACAAACACTTTTACTTGATGTAATAATTCATACTGTCAGGAAATCCTTAACAAAATTTAATGATTTGAAAGACGCGATTTCCTAGTCGTTGGGAACAAAACTGATTTGTGGACTTCCGTTTCGCAAAAACCGCGTGCTCAATATTCATCATCTGGAGACGTCTAAGAAAATTAAATTGTCTAAAACATATTTGCAACAGATAAATAAACCAATAAAAACGCCATGCTCATAGAATTATGATGTTTTGGTCGATAAATGTACTATAACATTGGCGATAGCTTATAGAATTATAGAATTATAGAATTATAGAATTATAGAATTATAGAATTATCTTCCCTGAATTGCCTCATGGAGATAAAAAAATTGGTTTCAAACAGGATCGTCCGGACAGCGGGATGACTTTTGAAATAATTTGATTAACAAAAGCCCCCTTAAAAATAACATAAATTATCGTATGTGTTCTTTTCAAGCTCAGCCTAATTTTATGCTTTTATCAAGACAGCTTTTTTGCTCTTCTATTAATGTGTTAACAAATTGTAAGACATTTCTTCATTCTAGGAAGTCTACCCTTGCATTCCGCCTAATATTTTAACCTGCCTCTTAATTGCGCTTGTTTCCTTGAAACTTTGAGGTTCCGTATCGTAATGAAACTGCGGTATTTCAATAAAAACTGTTTAAAATTAGGACCTTGTAACTGTTTCCCGATGACCATAACTGTATTTTGAGAAGGAGAGAAAAAAAAAACTCTCTCTCCATTGTCTTTAAAAATGGACAGGTTTTTGTCGTGTTCACATGATTCAACAACTACTTCAGTAAATATTGTTTTTCTTCTTCTAAATTGGATCACCCTTCTTCCGCCCAAACTTATCTACAAGTTATTAAGGGCGGGGGAAATCGGGAAACGGATGAATAAAATACGACAAATGACTGATAATTAAGATAAAAACATGTCAGGTAGTTTTAATTGTTCCACTAAGAACAATGATAAATGGATGACTTTGACTGATTCAGAAATACGTTAACTTCTCTATCACGAGTAAGATTACCGATGACATTGACAAAGCCACGGATGACTTTAATAAACGCAAAATTTTATAAATTTCACATTGTAAATAATATTGAAAGGGTAAATTTTTTCGTCCATAACATGTTTTTACTTTAGTTCCAAACAAAGGAGAAAATTCTACAGTTTTCTAGCCTTCAAATATTGCACGCGACATGAAAAAAAAAACTGTGGAAAATGTTTGGTTTATGCGGTCAGGCGACTTTTAAATTGGCGATCCAGTTGACCTTATTTCAATGTTAATCTTTATTTTTGACAATCTTGATGAGACAGTTAAACCCATGATTGAAGCCACAATTTGAACAATTATATTCACAAAAAAAGTTGGTTATTTATATGCTAAACATTTTTCGTACTCAAATTTTGTCCTTGTGCAATTCAAATCCAGTGTATAACTTTCTAGAGTGCCAGACATCAGTACAAATATGATATCAGTGGTATTTTATTTAAAATTATAACGCTCTCATTGCTTAATTTTTTAACCAAAGTAACAGAACGTAAGACACAATTTAAGTGTTATGCTGGATTATTTCCAAGCACGGATATTTCAAACTGTTTGAGCTTTTCCATTCAAGTTCCTTCTTGGTTAAGAGGCACAATTTTTCAAAGCAAACACCCTTTTTTCCAATTCAGTTTTTTAGAATTGTTCCATACTACTTATCATTGTCTCGTGACGAGGAACACTTTTATTTTCTAGACACGGAATAAACTTTTAGAACCATTGCACTTCAACAAAATTATTTTCTATAATTTTTTTCAAAGTGACACGGCCTATCAAAACAAATACCTTTTTCTCTGATTCAAATTCACGGCGTTTTCCATACCACGGTCTGTGAAACGAAGAGTATGTACCAAGAAACTCTCCGCCATTATTTGGAGGTAAAACATCCCTTGTCCAGCGACTTCTTGCAACGGCGGAATTCGATGCTAAAAGTGTTGCTGCGATAGAAACTAAAAAAATAGTTCTCAAGATGCCCGTCATATTTGTCCTTTTCTCTTTTGCAACTTCTAACTTGGATGAAACACGATTTGTTTTGATGGTTAAAAAGAACTATGGTCTTAGTTATAACATGGTATTGATAAATACATCTGAGTATTCATTGACGCCAACCAATCACGAGCGAGGAGGAAGTGCCAGTCTTATTTGCCTTGAAATGGCTTCCATTGAGCTTAAAAAACGATTGTAGACTCTGTAAGGTACACAACGTGGTTCTGTTTGGCAACAAACATCCAATTCTAGTTTAAATAAAAACTATCCCAGCTTTACAAAAAATGTTTTCTTGAACACTTTTCATGTCTATATCAACATTGCCAAATCATAAGACTTTAACGCTCTTATTAAGGAAATGAATTGTCTATGGTAGAAATTGAGAAATTTAAGTCAAATGAAATAAATGATTGATAATTTCCTAACTCAATTTATTTGACTTGCTATCATTAAATCTGCGTAATTGCAAGTGTAAATTACGGAAAATTACGGAAAATTACGGAAAAACAACCCACAATAAATTTCTGGCAAACATTCTTCGACCACGTTTTAATCTCACTGTCAACATAATCGTTTAATAATTTCAACAGGTATTGAAGAAAGAGTCGAAATGTCAGCGGTAAAATCTTCTCAAAAAAAAGCACAGAGATTTAACTGGTTTCAGTTTCCCTTGAGATAAGCGAAATGAAATGTCAGTGGATTTATCAGGAGATATTTCCTTCGGCAGACATATTCTGTGACTTTTGTAGCCTATTAGAGAGTAACCCTCTTTAATCTTAGGTACTAGAATAGTTAACGTATTCTGCGCAAGCTTGAAATTAATAAAAATCATTTTCATCCGGTATCTAAAGCGGTAGAAATTGCTTTGGATTTGTGATTGGTCGAGATCACTCTCGTGCCACCCACTAATGCAACCAATCAGATACAAACCTAAAACTAATCGCGGCATGCCCCCCGCGTTTTCCCTCGCTCCGTCTGCCTGTTTTCGCTTTCAGTTCTAACTGGCCCCTTGCAATATTCCTGTTTTTTTTTTCCAACTGGCTATTTAAATAATTTTCATTGCAGTGACGGTAAGTGGAAACTCGGCGGCAATTCGAGAATTTCCGCATGAACTCCGGAGAATAGAAGAGTTGAACTGAAAAGCAAACCAAAAAGGCAGTCATTTCAGAATTAGGAAAGACCGAGATTGCTTATCCAACAACAACTGACTGCATTAGGATATACTTCAAACCCTTCGAGAAGCCTTTTAGTGATTTCATCATGGTTTACATGGAAGTCTCATTTGGGGCGCTGAGTTTTCATCTCCGTTTTTAAACTAATCCATTTAATTTCTAAGCAAAACCCTTCAAGTTTACGACAACTGTTCAAATAAACTGAGGGCGATTTCGCTATACTATTGCAAGTCGCAATGGCTAAAAAAAACAACAAGCACATTACACTTTCCTGTGTTATGTCATTTGCCAGATAATTATGACCAGCGGACCAAATTACATTTACAAGTTCTATTACCCAGTAAACTATAACCCACACTTTCCGAAAGATGGTGGGTGCCAATCAGGGATTTAAGTTCAAGTTTGGTTTTGATGCCTCTCTCGTCATAAACGTATTACTCTGTTAACGTCTTGGTGAACAGCAGTAACTACCTTGGAAAGGGGAGGGGCTTTGGGTGAGTGAAGTCAGACCGTCTAAGAATTAGCTGGCCTCTACGAGCGCAAAGTACTTCCTGTTTAGAGTGACTAGCTATTTTGTTTCGATGTCATTCACTCACCTTACCTTTACGCAAACAAAAGCGACTACTCTATCAAAGATATCCATGTATTTAAGTCCAAGAAAGAAGGGAATTTCGATCCATGACTGAAATTCTTTTCAATTCAAACTAAAGAATTTATACTATGGATTACATGCGCAGACAATTTCTTTTTCATTTTACGGCAACAAAGCTCTAGGAGTCAGAATTGTACAATTTTCCAACAGAGCAACGCACATTTAATCAAGACATTGCCTTGAAATAAAAGCAAAAGAAATATCACTTAAAAAAATCTAGGTTTGTACAAAGGCAGGTAAGTATCTCGGGTTGAATATATCGGTCATTGTGGAAATCTGTAATTTAGTGAAATATAAATCCTTACAATAGAGCGGTTTTCAATTCAGTGTCGCAAAACAAAAGCGATCCCAGGTTAAAAAAAAAAAAGGTTAAACATCGGCGACCAATGAGAACGCAAAGTGAGAAGTGAAGCGCGGGAAATCGCGTGCGACCCTTTCGCGATTGTTTTTGTTTAGCATCTGATTGGTTGGGAGGATGGCGCGACTTCTCTGGACCAATCACAGAGCGAATTTAAGTAAAATCAAAACAACCGCGGTCTACTTTCGACAATCCATTGAAAATCGCTCTAAACTGGAGAGTTCCAAGAGTCGAGGAAGTAATTGAAGAAGAATGAGAGGAAACAACCATCTCGTTTTCAACAACGCAAACTTTAAACGTCGTTAAGGTACACCAAGTCTAAATAATACATTATATTATCGCGTGAGTATGTTCTGAGTGCACAAATAATGGAGGAATTCTTGCAAATCTATCGGGAAGACGTCCTTGATATGAATGCTGTTGCTGACACGAACCAAAAACTGTGCTTTATTTCCTGCACGAAGCCGTTGTTAGTAGAAGCATTGGACATCTTCCAAAAGTGAAAAATAGCTTCTTCAATTCATATTTAAATTTCTGTGGGAGAAAACAAAGTAGATAAGGTCATTAACAACACTATAACCGGTATAGAGAACTACAAAAAGTTGGAGGGGGGGGGGAGGTGAGGGGACAAGACACCAACCCACCACCACCAAAAGAAATTCTTGTGCAAGACATTTTCTTTGCGACACAGATTGCCTTACCTTAGAATGTCATTAACAAGTCTTTAAGTCCAATAGGAAGCTACAAAAAGTTGGAAGGGGGGGGGGGGGGGGGGAAAGAGTATGAGGACAAGACATCAACCCACCACCAGCCCCACCCTAAGAAAATTCTAGTTTAACTCATTTTGCTTTGTAACACAGAATGCTTTACCTTATATTTAACCACTGTTTTGACTGGACTGGCTGTTAGATCTCTCTTTCCCTTTCTCATACACGTTTTCATCTCTTGGTTTTGCACCACCAAAGATGGCCATCTGTTGAACACTTGAGGCTACGTCATTCACAGGATCTTTCACAGTGCGGGGTTTGAGTTTTAGTTTTGGTCTACCTGCTAATTCCTCTGTTGATGGCAACCAAAAATAGTTATTAAAAAAGAAAAAAACTAAATTGACCTAAACTACTTGTGTTCTTTCTTTTGTCATTTACCTTCAACTTTTTCTTATCTGCTCAGCTATTAGAGCAAATGATAATAACACTTATTTCATCTCACAATAGCAACATTAACATGGGTGACTCTCCGAAACAAATTTTTTGGCTGTGGATTTTATCTCCCCCCCTCCTTCCTTTCTATTACATTCATGAACCTAACACAATCAATATCACATGCATAAATAGATAATCTAAACCCTTGAACTCCCAGAAGTGATAAACATGTAACTTCTTCCTATAATATCTACACATTCTCTAGCAAACAGCTAATGAGAATATTAAAACTTATAATCAGGGAGAAGTTGTTGTCTTGATCTAACACCAAATTCTCATGACTAATTTACAAGGAAATGTGTTGCAGCTGAAGGGGAGAACTGACAGTCAGATCTTGAGGATTAGGATTTGAAGACTGAAACTAAAAAATATCATTAAATTTCCCTCTTAGACTTCACCCTTTCCCTAACCCAAGGTGCATGTGAAATCTTAAGTTTAAAAAGGATAACATTGTTCCTCAGGGTGGGAGTGGAATTCATAGGACAATGGATTCTAATTGCTCAACATCCACAAAAATAAAGAGGCCTCTCAACCTTTTGTTGCTGACTGTAAGTTTAGAGATGCAATTATAGGTTTAAGCTATAAGACATTTTGGTGTTTTCCTGTGCAAGGAGTTGCTCAAATTAACAGGAACTTGTAATTATCCTCACCAGCTGTTGGTTCACGAAAATTTTCTTGTCTAGGAGGGCCTCTTCTGTCTCCATAGCCACCGCCTCCGCCTCCGCCTCTGCCACCTCCTCCCCCATATCTTCCCCCTCTTCTTCCTCCTTCATCCCTACCTCCCCAGCCACCATCATCTCGGCCACCCCAGCTGCTATCGTCTCTTCCACCCCAACTGCCTCCTCCTCCTCCTCCTCCTCCTCCTCCTCCACTCCATCCTCCATGACTTCCTCCCTTGTTACCCCAGTTTCCACCACCTCCTACAAAGAAGAATAAACCAAGTAAAGTTCAAATCTGGATGGTAGGAACTTAAGTTTACATTTTCCATCTAACTCCCTTAACTTTATTAACTTTTAACTCCCATGAGTGACCAAGACATAATAATTATGTCTTGGTCACTCATGGGAGTTAAAAGTTATTTTTTATATTTTTCTTTATTCTCCTCATTTGTCTACTTGATATTGTACTGATATTGTGAGGAGAAATTATTTCTCCTCACAATATCAGTACAATATCAAGTAGACAAATGAGGAGAATAAAGAAAAATATCAATAAGGGGATAAGTTGATCCAATACCAAATTCTCAAAACTAACATCACAAGAACTGTATGGTAAACAGTAAGGAGAATTACTAGTGAGATCTTGGGAGTTAAAGGGTTAACTTGATTAACTTTGAACTCTCATGAGTGACCAAGACAGAATTTCTCCTTACAATACCAGTACAATATCAGGGGGACAAGTGATGTGAATAAAGAAAAATATCAATTGAGGGGTTATGAGTTGATCCAGTGCCAAATTCTCTGAACTAGCACTATGAGAATTTCATGACAGAAAGTATGGAGAATTACTAATGAGATCTTAGGAGTGAAAGGATTTAACCATTGTTTCAATCCTCAGATCTGATTTCTGGTAATTCCTCTTCCAGTATACAAATGTGCATTGCCTTTTATTTTGAGCCCAAACACTCTACTGAGAATCAAGACAACATGCCATCATAAACAATGTTTTTCTGTTTCTATTCCCCATTTACTGGTGTTGTAAGAGAGAGATTTCATTTTGATCACATTGGCAACTTAAGCTGTACATCTAGTTGGCAATTTTTTTCCTTCTCCCTATGGATCCCAAAACAAAGTAAAACTACTTACCATCGCCTCCATATCTTCCACGTCTGTCATCATAGCCGCCTAAAAAAGTATGAAATGGATTTATTTGAATGGCATAAAGATAAATGAATAATGAGTATCAACCCTTTAACCTCGAAGAATGACTAGCATTTAATTTTTCCATAGATATCACCCCTAAATCACACATTAATGTCACAAGAATAAAGGAAATGATCAACAACTTAGGAAACTCTTGATTGTTAAACAAATTCTCCTTGTCAGCACCATAAGAAATAAATAGAGATCAGTATGGAGAATATGCATACTGATGTAAGGGTGTAAGGGGTTAAGATGAAGACTCCCTAACCTCTGCCTCCTCTTTGTCCACCTCTTCCGCCACCACGGCCTCCATCTCGACGTCCCTCAGCAACATCCACTCTCAATGTTTTTCCATGCTCTCCAATTCTCTAGTCAACAGAAATAGATCACACCAAAATTAGGGGGCAAGAAGCCCTGGAATGCCTGGATTCAGTTACTGTCTTTATAAGCTAGCTTACAATTCCATAAAACAATGATGCCAAAAAAAATAGGACTTTCTCTTTTGGCATTTGCTATAGAAAATGTTGTTTTTTGTTTGGTTTTTTGTATAGATGAAAATTCAATCGCTTGCCTTGCGATGTAGAGTCAGGCTATCAATAGTAATGATCACGACATTCGACTGCTATATTGCTAGTGTCTGCCAGGCAATGAGGTGGAAAGTTTACTTGTTGCTATTTATAGCACCTTAGTTTGCTGTTATTGGTGTGTTCTTGCATGCTGATAAATGAGTTGGCAAGTGTTGATTTTGATCTTAACTATTGTTTTGACTTCTAAATGTCATAATCTCATAGGGCCAATTTGTTACCAATTAGTTGTTGTGCTTTTTGATGATAGGTACTTTTAGTAGTACTAGACAGGGACGTAAGCATAGCCTGCTGGAAAAAAAAAATTGGTTACTTACAGCCCCATCATAAGTCAGTGCTTCCTCCAGTGAGACCAGGTCTTCAAACTCAACATAACAAAAGCCTGGTAACAATACAATTGTAGTTCTTATAATAATAATGATGATGATGAAAGGGATAATAGTAATAAGTATTAACTGATTATGATTAATGATAGTGACAATGAAAATGTTACAGTCAAACCTGTATTAACCCCTTAATCCCTAAGAGTGACCAGCATCTAATTTCTCCTTTCAATATCACCCCTGAATCAAACATTAAGGTCATGAGAATAAAGGAAATGATCACCAACCGAAGAACCTCTTGCTTGTTAAACAGATTCTCCTTGCCAGCACATTAGGAAATGTATAGAGAACAGTATGGAGAATATGCTTACTGATGTTAGGGTGTAAAGGATTAACAGGGAATAGTAGGGTGACCACTTTATACAGGTAGACTGTTTAACCCTTTAACTCCCAAGATTTCATTGGAAATTCTCCTTACTGTCCACCATACAATTTATGTGATGTATGTTTGGAGAATTTGGAATTGGATCAACCAATAATTCCCTAATTGATATTTTTCTTTATTCTCATTATATGTCTGCTTGATATCATATTGATAGTGTAAGGAGAAATTCTGTCTTGGTCATTAGTGGGACTTAAAGGGTTAATATAGGTTTGAAAGAATAGGAATAATATAAGAAACAATAAAAACACCATGGTATGCATAGATGTACATAGATTTCATGCATAAAAAATTGCTCAAATATACTATCAACTTTGATTTTGGGAGATAAACATGGAATAAGTATTGTTTGAAAGATTATTCTTAGTTTTATTTGAGTAGTTCTGCTTTAAGTGACTGTTCAAAACAAATGCAAGACATTACAAACAGGCTGTTGGGATTCACCTGAGGTGACTGCGACTGCTTAGTAGACCATCTAATAGAGGTGAAAATTGCAGTGATTAACCCTTTAACTCCCAAGAGTGACCAAGACAGAATCTCTCCTTATAATATCAATACAATATAAAGCAGATGAGTGATGAGAATAAAGACAAATCTTAATTAGGGGATTATTAGTTGATCCAATACCAAATTCTCAAAACTAACATCACAAGAACTGTATGGTAGACAGTATGAAGAATTACTGATGAGATCTTGGGAGTTAAGGGGAAAAAAATTCTGGACTTTGAAAACTGACTGCTTAATACAGGGTGACTGCTTGACACAATGCCATATTAAGCAGATGCTATATTAATAAAGATTTGACTGTACTGATGATGATAATGGTCATGGTAATACAGTAATGGCAAAGGCAACAGTAACTGTAATAGTAATACATAATTATGATAATTATGATAATTATGATAGCAATACATAATTATGATAATTATGATAGTAATACATAATTGTGATGATGATGATAATTTGTATGTTGCCAAAAATGTTTCATTACCTTTGAATTTGTCTGTTTCTTTATCTCTTACGAGACGAATGCTTCTGATGTTGTCCTGATCACAAAATATGTTACTATTAGCTTCAGACTAAAACATTAAACTGCCATAGAACACACAAAGCTGAATGAACAGGAAGTCTGGTGTTGCCATTGCTATCTGTTAATGGTAAGCAGGAGCATTCAGACTTTTATCTCATGTTCCAAATCATGAACAGTACAAAAATGATAATGACAAAAAAAACACTGGACAGTAAATTCTCTCAAGTTTGCCATGTCAGTTCAAATTTAAAGAGATGATAGATTATTTAATGGGTTATTCAGTCAACCAAACTGGTAATCCAAGAAGAATTTTAAGACATTGACAAAGAAGACATTGAACACATGAGATCACTTGATTTTTCAGCTGGGCCACCAAACTATTTCTTACTCTGATTTCACCATGAAATAGAAAACAATTAGTTCATTACTTCTCCCCCTGATTTACATCCAATTAGCCTCCTACCCATTCCCTAACTTTCAAACCCACCTTCACCCCCGCACCCCCTCCTCCACTCTCATTTAAAGTTAAACAGCTGCACCATTGATCAAGAAACCTTACCGACAATTCAGACCATACTAAATAACACATTAATTACGTGAATGCTTCGATAAAAGTTAATGTTTGACCAAATAATAACACTTTTAGGTGTATGATGTTGGGCCTGGTGCATAAACAGAATAATGGGAATCTCACTAGGAGACAAGCGCGCAACCACTTGTAAGTCCTCAAAAATAGAATTAGGTTAAGAAATTTATGGTTTCAAGATCGAATTTCTCGCTAAAGCCAGCTACACCGTTGATTTTTCTGCCTTAAAGCGCAGGGCCCATTCACACTGATCCCTAAGATCTTTTGCACCGGAGGCGACGTGAAGAAACAGAATACCACAAAGCTTTCCCGAAGTGGTCGATGTACACTGCCATGCAGCTTTCCTAATGATAAACCAAGGGCCATGTGCGAAATCGTAAGCTGGCGGTATTTGAAGTGCCTTTGATCGTGATGAAAACATACCTTGATGTCTTGGAAGATAATATCAAGATCTCCCTGGACTGTATCCGGCGGAAGTCCACCGACGAAGGCAGTAAATGGAGGTTCCTTTGGAAGAGGTTTCGGTGCGCGATCCCTGTAACGATCTCCGCCACCACGCCGTCTTCCGCCTCCATGGGACGAACCATAATCCCTGATAGAAACAGATTGAGCGTATTTTAGTACCAGAGGGGAAGAATCGAAAGTGAAAGGATTAACATGGCTCTATTACCTTGGTCCATCTCCGAAACTGTCGAAAAATCCACCACCCCGGCCACTACCACTGCTATCGAAGTCGTCCGCCATGTTGACCGAACTGAATGCAGTCCATAATTTTTTAACTGCACAATGAAGCGATAGGACAAGCATTAGAAGCAGCGGCAGATAAACTTCTAAATTTTTTGTCAAGTAGGTCTCACTTAAGTGTCCTCAAAGAAACTTACCATGGCCGCCATGATGGACACCTCCGAAACAAACTCACAAGGTACACTTAAAGTTAAGTTAACTTAAGTTGTTTACTCGAAATTTTCATCTTATATTCTAATTTAAGACTTTTTTATTTTTTCATGACAAAGAAATTGAAGATCGGACACAGCTGAGGTTTCAAGTTGAGCTGGAGTTTGTGCAATGTCTGGCAAATCCTCATTATTTGAATTGTAAGTTTTCCTTTGTTAAACGATATCTTTGTTTGCCTTTTCCCTAGCTTCTTGATCTTTGGTATCAAACAAGAAAGAAATGTTGGCAAAATTCATTCAAAATTTAGCGTAGATAATATATTTTGAGTACTTTTCTAGATCTTTGTCTATTATTCATTGAGAATCGAAGAGACTGCCGGTAGTTGCAACCTTGATTATTGTACCCGATTTGAGGCCATAATTGTATAGTTTCCAACCTTTTCCTCAGACCAAAACGCCTCAAAAATCATACCCTTCCAGGCAAAGTGTATTTATTTCAGTGTTTGGCTTATGTAATTATTTGTATTGGGGAGTATGTTACTCACCTTCTCAGGGGTGAAACAGAGCTCTCTAGTTGATTTACTGGCAAAGAGTAAGACGCCATGGGCATCTCCTACCTGGAAGGGTATGGGAGCATGCTCCCCCAGAAAATTGGGAAAGAAAGGAGAAGAAGAATTGTGGCTAAGATGAGCATTGCTTTATTCTGAGTGAGAAGTTTCATTGTTGAAACATGCTCTAAGTTAGTACAAAGGGAATCAGAAGTAAATTTGGAAGAATAAGTAATTTTTTAGGCACTTGAGCAGAAGTTTGTATCAGAAACCTTAAATGTGAGAAGTGATGGCTTTAGCGAGAGAGCGCAAGATTGAATTCCTTAGTGTGAATCTTGCTCTCATCGCATGAGACTAGAGAGAGAGAGCTCTGGGTGAAGATAGCACTGAGCAATGGCTTTTTTAAATTCATCTTGGTCTAAACACCTCATGATTAGAATAAGAAATTTATTGAGTCATGTTTTCTACCCTTCAATCAAGTCATTGTTGCCTTCATATGTGAGAGGAGGGAAAAGAAAGTTGGGAGGTCCTCACACTATCTTGAATATAATTTATTTTCTAATAGTCACTTCTGAAATCTTTTGCAGTTCTTGCTCAAAGAGGGTACTTTAAAGAACAGTCCTTCATTAACTATCTCAAATATCTGCTTTATTGGAAGAAGCCAGAATATGCAAAATTCTTAAAGTAAGTACTATTTAATGTAAAAGTTGTGGCAATAAGTAGTATAGGTAGTGTCATTTGATTATAATAATAATTCAGACTTGTGTTTACTGTCACAACAATATGTATCAACTTTGCCAAAATTGGTTTTGCCCCTTTATTGCATTCTGCTCTATTGGGTTACTAAGATAAGCAGTAATATTTTCAGCCCCCTCCTCAGTGTTTTGTGAACCTGAAAAACAAATCCCTCAATTTAAGAAATATGTTATTTTTAACTTTTCGTGAGCACTGGAGGAAAAAAAAAGAATTTCACTTTGACCTTTGCCTTTGACAAAAAAAATAACATCTTTATTTCTTTGATTGCTTTTTTCAAAATGTAACAAGTTTCCTAATATTTTTTAAACTTTTTACATGCTGACATCAGTATACATATTCTCCATACTGCTCTCAACACATTTCCTAAGGTGCTGGCAAGGAGAATTTGTTTAACAATCAAGAGCTTCTTGAGTTGGTTTTCATTTCCCTCATTCTCGGAACTTTCATATGTGATCCAGGGGTGATATTGTAAGGAGAATTTAGATGCTAGTCATTCTTAGGGGTTGAAGGGTTAAATAAAGATGTCATGGGTGTATTTTTTTATGAGCAGAGGAGAAGAGAACTTTTCAAAATCCCTCAGATTCAGAATGTTTCTTTGTCTCATGCGGTCTAAAAAAGGAATCAATTATAATATTTTTTTGTATCTGACGACTCTTCTCAAAATTTACCATCTTTCTCGTTTCTTTAAATCCCATTATTCTTTTTTCATACTCACAGATATCCCCAGTGTCTACATTTCCTTGAGCTGCTCCAATATGAACATTTTCGCAGAGAACTTGTAAACCCTGCCTGCGCAAAGTTCATTGATGAACAGCAAATTCTCCATTGGCAGTATTATTCCCGAAAAAGAATGAAGATCAATTTACCAAAATCATCAGGACAAACAGGTTCTACAACTGAGGGTGAACCATCGTGAAATTGCAAATTGTGTAGAAAGAAATGTGGACAAGATGTGTCTACAGAGATGGCAAACAATTAAGAAATCTGGGTGGGCTCATTTAACACCAAGCCAAGCAGTAGCTCCTCCACACTTTTCTTTTTTTATAAAATACCCTTTGCTTAGTTCATTGGCAGACATCAAGGTCTCTGTAATCTTGACAGGGTACAGTGTTGATTTTGGTGGATGCACAAGTAGGATTTTTTTTTTGACAAAGTTGTGCAATGTATAATTTGCTAAAGCTTGATCCTGACAACAACTTGGCAGAAGATCAGGAGACTGAATATTTTGGTGAGCCAATTGTATACTGTGTCAGCCACATTTTTTGGTACCAAAAAATTAGGGAGTATTCCAACCCCCAGCTCCACTGCCTATGGTATTTAGAACATGCTCTACAAGATCTCAAACCAGGAACACACAAGGCAACAGATTCAAACAGGAGAAAAAAAAAAACTAGTTCATTTGTAGCAGGTTTGATGGTCTGATCCATGTTAAGGAAGTAGTGTGGCTGTTTTCTCTATTCAGTTCTGTGAAAAATCAATGGAACCTTGTTTTATCACGAGTGATATTAAATGTAACTATACTGTACTGTACATTTGTAAATAAAATATTGAGCAAAATTGTTTGATATCTTAGGTTACCTTCAGGTTGGTAATATTACTGTAGTATTCTTTCTTGTGATGGTTTAATCCCAGCCTCTGTCCCTAGCCTGTTTTGCTTCAGTCACAATACTGAAACATTGCAAAAAGAAGTCTCCCTCTCTTAATTCCCTCTATGTACTAAGCCCCCTGCATTTGAAGAGTCAAACATCCCCTCTCTGTAAACTGGGAGTAGGGCCTCATCAGCAGATGTAAATTTAAACCAAATGACCAATTTTTCTTGGGGACTGTATGAAATGTTAGAGAAAAGCCTGCTTTCAATCCCATGAGGGGGGAGAAAAAAACCACTTTGTGCTCCATAATCTTAAACAACCTTATGCAGTTTTGCCATCTAGTCTTGTATACTGACTGCAGACATGAATGGTTTGTATATGAATAACATAAAGAACAAACACATAAAACAATCAGAATCCCATAACTTGAATTAAAATATTTATTTTCAATTAAATAGACAAAAGGCCTGAACACAAAATGCCCTTTTTGCCTAAGTTTTGATTAGAATAAATTATATACAATTTGAAAATACAAATATGTAATATAATATAAATAATAATTACTAATATCCACTCCAATTTAGAAAATTTAATGATGAATGATAAGTGATTCAAACAGATGTAACACTCATCTAAAGAGGCAACAAATCACCTCTAAAGGCATATCTACCTGTAGCTATACCACGGAACTCTGACATCCGATTTGAGAAAATGACAGCTTTATAACTCTATAACCTACTAACACTCTCACAATGTTTTTTAACTCAGATAAAAACATCTGACCAAAGGTCTACACAAGAAGTTCAACATATCATACACAATGTACACAAACTGTAAAATAATTTGAACTGCTGTATCATGCAAAGCAGTAACCCTTTACACCCTAACATCAATTCCTATTTTTTCACACTCTTCTCTGTACATTTCCTTTGGTACTGACCAGGAGAATTCCTTTCACCCTTTAACTCCCATGGATGACAAGACAGAATTTCTCCTTACAGTATCAGTACAATATCAACCAGATAGGTTATGAGAATACAGAAAAATATCAATTTTGGGGATAATTAGTTGATCTAATACTAAATTCTCTAAGCTAATGTTATAAGAATTGTATGGTTGATAGTAAGGAGAATTACAAATTTGATCTGGGAATTAAAGGGTTAACAAATAAAATTCTTAGGCTGGCAATCATTTCCTTCGTAGAAATTCTCATGATCCTGATAAATGATTCAGGGGTAAATATTACTGTAAGGAGAAATTAGGCACTGACCACTCCTAGTGTCGGTTATTTAGACAATCTGAAGATGCCATCTTCAATTTAGCCAAACCTTTTATCTGAACATTTAATTTTTTTAAAGAGTGTCTAGATGGCCAAAAGCTAACAATAGAAGGACATTAATTTAATTAAATCAACCTTCTTAAAGACAAAGCCTGAAGCCCACTGCCTGCGTAAAGACGAAGTTTGGATTATACCCCCTGTAAAAAACCAGCCCCTAAGGGTTAGAGGGTTAAAATTAAAAAACCTTTTGTGTGATACAAAAGGTATAATATGCAAGTGTTGATGAACTGGCAGCAACGTAAACAATGGAAGTTCATTATGCCTGACCCATATTGATGATGATTAAATAAACTTGTCGAGGATAAGTTGTAATTACAATAATGAATGAATTTAAGACACACAATTAAAAATCTATCCAATTCAACTAAATGAACAATAAATTAACAATAAAATAACATTTCTCATCAATCCTTTAATACTTGTAGAGAACTAAGAAGTTCTATTGCCTTGACAGCTTCACTCTCAGGAACCTTGAAATTGAAAATAAAAACAAAGTCTTATCACAATCACAAGAAATTCGTCCTTCCACATTCTGGTAGTACATTTCCCAGGACCAATTTCCTGGTAAAGTTTTCTTGCAAATCTGAATTTCAAATTATTTTTGAAAAAGCCAAATTTAACTCCTGTGGAAACAATAAGCAGAAATTCCAATGCTTTAAAATAAAGAAGGGATATTTTGGGAACACCACAAACAAATGCAAACCTTGCACTGAGTTACTGTGCTCCAAAAATAACCAAAGGCTCATTCAAAGATGCCACAGAAAATCAAGAGAAGATTGTTCCAAAACAACTAGTTAAACAGGGGAAACTGTCTACCTTTGCCAGAGGAAAGTTACAAAACATAGGTGAATATTAAGCTAAAAGGAGAGGCTGTGCAAGATCACTGAAAATGGAAGATTCTCAAAATAGGAGGGCTACAAGCTATTTCCTGATAACTTTCAGCGATACTCAATAAGAAAATTCCTCACTGACCACAGAGGACAGAAAGATAATCAACAAGTCCAACTGCAAAAACTCCTTGAAGAAATAATATTATTAACCAAGATAATATTACCAGCATTAACATAGGCAATGGTGATGAAAACCAAATTTGTTTCATGTTAGTGGATTCCCAACTCTTAGTCATGATGCAGATAAGATTAATTCATCAAAGGTACTAATTAAACGAATGATTAGCAATTAAAAGTACATACCAAAAGATGATCATAAAGGAAAGTACAGATGTAAAAAGTGCTACATGAAGCTTCAGTTAATGGTTCAGATAACTGAGCAACTATGCCACTCTCCTCTAAAAGTAACACACAAACGGCTTCAAATTAATCCAGGGATGAATGGAAAGTAGCTGCGGGAAACTTGCCAAAAGTAGCTCTAAGATTTTGATGGCAACTGAATTACAGGCACCTTTGTTATTTGACAACAAAGACAAGCCACTGATATTATCATTTGATAATATTCCAAAATGCTGGAGGCTGAAAATCAATCAAAGATCCCTCAAGAGATAAGAGATAAGCCTCTTATTCACATACAAATTGCTTTGTTATCCTCCACAATTTTTTTCTTGGGGGTTTATCATTAAATAAAATTTGAGTTTTTATGCCCTGTTTTCAAGAAGGGAGATTCAACAATTTAATATTTCCTGGTGTAACTGTTGTTGCCAAGGAAAGCTTTAGTACTCTGTTCAAGTTTCCCACAACACCTCTATGACCCAGAGGTTTGTACATACCAGTGTATGACCAAGGCCATAAGTACTGATGTAATAAGTAGGCATTTGAACATCTGCTAAAGGTTCTGCGATCTGGGCAGCAACGCCACTTTCATCTACACAACACACAACAGTGCAGTGTATCATTACATATTTATAAAGGAAGCCACTAAAGATTACAATGATAACAATAATACTAGCAATACTGATAATTATAAAAATAATAGTAATATTAATAGATATAAAAAATTATGATCACTCTTCGGGTTTGCAGGCCACACCTCTATTATGACTGATTTGTATCAAATGTTCACACCTTTCTAATAACCTTTGCAAAACAAGTGACTGAGTAGGTGAGCGAATCAGTCAGTGAGTCAGTCAATTTGTCATGCAGACCGTCATTCTGTAGGTCAGATGGTCAGTGAGTCAGTCAGCCAGTCTGAGTCAATCAGTCAGTCAGTCAGCCAGTCTGAGTCAGTGAATCAGTGCACCACTATATCCACCTATCTGTTATCAGTTAGGCAGTCACCTAAATCAGCAATTTTCTTGTTTCTTATACAATGTCTGATGTCTGGTTGAGCCACGTGCATCACAGTGTCAGCCTGTTGAGTGTCTATTTGTATGCACTAGTCTTAAGCTAACATCTTCACCAAATTTTCACTTGCTCATTTCAAATCAGAATAAAAAAAAGACAAAACTGACCAAATCCTAGGGGGTCATCTCCAACACGAATCATTCTCCATCCCTCATCATTGGTGTTTGTGTATAGTGAACCTTCAGGAAATCTAGATATTTAAAAAAAAAAGCACATCGAGACACAAATTTTCTACAAATTCAAGCATATTGATCACAGACTATGTTACCATCTTGACAATTTTCTACCACTGCAGAAAAGCTACAAACTAAGGTATCAATTTTATCAATATTAGGTGATACTGGACAGTTTTGACCATAAAATTACATTGTCAGCATGGAAACTTTCCTTGTTTCCAAAAGGTAACTGAATCTCAAGAGCCAGCATTCACCAACCCTCAAACATAAAAGTCGGGAAAAAGAAGTAAAAATGACACGTTGTCACTGGAAACATAGCCAGCTGAACATGACAACAACAGGATTTTTATGTGTCAAAATGTGGTAGCCAAACTTCTGTTGTGCTGCACTAAACACAAAATCATAGTATGATTGACATAAAAACCCAGTTCAGTGGCCTTGTTACCATCATGATGGTTTGTGTAGCTATTCTTTCAGTACAATTGGTCGCACTTTTCATGTCAACATCAAAAAATATAATTCATGCACACTGAAAATAACTTTACAATACCAGAATTCTCAAAATGTAAGTACAAGCTAGGAGACAAAACATATACAAAATTTTCACCTTTACCTTGACAAAGCCTCACTGTCTAAAACTAATGAAATGTCTCCTTCAACAATTGAGATGTGAAAGAAAGGTTCATATCGTCCATCATCAGGTGTTCTGGGGTAAAACGAGCCATATAAATTATTGAAAATATTCAGTGATTCTAGACATCAAAATGTCAAATAAGATATATGCATTTGTGCTATGATCAGCCAATTCATCAGGCTGTATTTCACTGAACATCCACAAAATTAAAAGGGTAGTTGGAGTAGAGATCTTATAACTCTATTTGAACTCAGGGGTTTAATAAATACCTTACTGATCTTGTTTTCTTGGACTGTACTGTAAGTTACAGAGCCTTATTTTTTCGGCTGGGATTACTAGTGTGCATGCTTTGCCCTTGGGTCATAAATCCAAGCAAGAAAAACTCTCCTTCAACTTACAACATGGACTTTGAACTTGGTTAGTAAGAGGTATGTATCGACTCTTTTGGGGGAAGAAACTCTCAAAGAAGTAACTTGTCAAGAGAACAAAATTACCTGTGTAAGGAGGTGGATTCAATACAAAGTCTACACCTAGAGAGCCAGCTAATACACTTAGAAGCTAACATCTAATGACATATTTCATAGCAGTAGAAGAACAACAAAAAAATTTACTCAGAATAGAACATCAGTTCAAGAATGGTGGTAGTGAGGCTTGGTAGCATTCGAAAATCTAGACTGGTCACATGAAATCTGTTCATTGGACATGTGAATGGGTGAATAATTGGTCTGTGCTCATCTGCCAAACAAAGGAAAGAAAAAAAAACCAGTTACATATCAGTATGCAAAGCACACAAAAACCAAGTAGCTATAAAATCAAACTGAGGATATTACAGCGTTAAAGAAAACCACTGGAAATTTACCTGCTTTCCTTTCATTCATTTGGTTCATTCCAACCAATCTATCCTTAATAGAAAGAGTCACAGGTTCAAGTCCTGATCCACTGTCTTTAAAAATTTTATAATTTTCGGAAAGACACATTATGGCAGTTTCAAGATCTTTCTCTCTCACCTGACAGAAAAAGAGGAGTTCAACAAAATTAACAAAAAACCAAATTACAAGTTAAATTTGTTTGCCCATCAACTCATTGTTTAAAGGTGAGAAAAATAATAATGAACATTTTAGCTCCCAGGATCTGATTATTAATTCTCCCCTCTACCTGCTAGACATTTCCTTGTAAATTAGTCATGAGAAATTGGTGTTTGATCAAGACAACATCTTCTACCTGATTAGTTTGAATATTCTCATTACATCTTTGCTGGATAATGTAAGGATATTATAAGGAGAAGATTTATGTTGATCACTTCTGGGAGTTAAATGGTTAAAAAGTGAAAGACTGCAAGCTCATTATTAATATCTGGATCAAACTTGTATCAATCAATCAAAAAATTGTTCAATTAGGTTAATTAAACATCATTCATTCACAAATCCTGACATTCATTACAAAATCAAGGAACAGTTTCCCTCCTAAAAAAGAATAAATACAATTGATTGTATGCTTACAAAGAGTAAAACCATAGTTTACCAGTTGAGGTAAACAAAGAGAACACTCTAAACCAAATAATTATTAGTTTCAGTGAGAATGATACTTGACTAAAAAACCTACCAAGACATAGTCTGACTGATAAGTTGAAATGACCAGAACTGAGATTTTAAAATCCGCCAAGGGAGAAATGACTGTTTTAACAATTCTACTGATTCCAGTCAGCTGATGGCTTCCATAGGCTCCTGCAGACACAGTCAGAACTCGCCAGATAAGGTCAGGCATGTCAATGCTCTCACTTTGTGGAAGCTCTGTCAACAACAGCAGAGACACTTTAGCCTTAGAGCCTTGTGAGGCGTGTAATAATAGACTTATTAGCACTTAATTAGACTTTTTGTTTATCATTTTATAAGAATGAAGTTATATTAATACAGTGTAACTTTGATTTCAGATGTAATGCAAACATAATAGGAACCTGCTGTATATCCTCTCATTAATGGCTAAAGTATTTGGGACCCACATTGAAATAATGTTCTTTGACTTTATTTCATTACAAGTTCTCTCTCAATTTAGACCTTTCCCCACCCCAAACAGTTTTTTGCTCTAACCACACTGACAGATAGACAAAACACAACTTTGTACTGGGGAGTGGAGGGAGAGGTGAACAGTGATTCGATCAACTAAGGAAAACCGTACCTTTTGAAAACTTTAACAATTTTTTTTGCATGATTTTTTAATTAATTAATTAAATTAATTTTTTAAACAATTTTTTTAAAGCTAAACTAGTCAACAGCACTTTGCAAACGGTAGTTGTCTAACTATGACAGTTTTGTCTAACTGTCATCAACTTCTTCAGGGAGTTTTACAAGTTAACACTAAATGCCTGTATTTATAAGCCATAGTTAGCAGCTGTATGGGGGCCGATGACCATAATGGCTTGGCCAGATATACCAACAGGAACAGGTGAAGTTGTGAAAAATTTGAAAAATTTTTTTGTGCAAGGTGAGAAAAATATTTGGGGGTCACGATTTTAGCTGAAACTGTGGCCCCCAAAATACTTACTTCTATAGATTAGGTATTGTTACAGTTTTTCCTGTAACACACATTACAATCTAAGTCTGGCAGAACATTATTGATAACACTCTTAATACAGACATGACTGCGGTTTAACCTAGTCTTAAAGACCATAATCCTGCCTTGCCAAGATCTATGATTAAGTAGCCGGAAGAACCATTTATTCCTGTCATTGTGACATAAATCATGAAACAGTAACAGTGAAAACTTAAAAGAGCCTCTAATTCGCAGTTGCTTCCAGAACTTATCCCTAGTCTCAGAGAAAGACTTAAAGGAAGAACTGTTTCTAGCATATCTCATAAGCTCCCCTTTTACAAAAGCTTTCTTGTTGCTAGAAGGGTGAAACAACTCAAAAGGTATGTATAGTTTCAACTGAAACTGTAGCCCCCTAATATTTTTCTCACCTTGTCCAAAAAAATTTTTCAAATTTTTCACAACTTCTCCTTTTCCTGTTCATATGTCCGGCCAAGCCTTTATGGTCATTGGCTCCTGTATAGCCGCTAACTATGGCTTATAATTACAGGCGTCTAGCATTAACTTGTAAACTTGTAAAACTCCCGAAGAAGTCTATGACAGTTAGATGAAATGTGACGGCAAATAAAGAAGTTTTACAATTACTGTTTACAGAGTGCGCTCTCTAGTTTAATTTAACTAGTTTAGTTAAAAAAAAAAAAAAATTATACAACAAAGTTATTGTAAGAAAAGGAAACCCTGAATTTTGTAGAGAACTGTTGTCTTTTTATTTTCACACTGATACATCCAAATGGGTAAGTGACAGGTAATTTTTGCTGAAAATTTAAAATCAAAGTCTGCATGCTTTGATTCTCTGATTTGAGCCTGATACTGTTCTTCAGGGCTTATTCAAAGGTAGATTAAAACGTACCAGTGCACTGTTTTGCATTAATAATTTACGCAGACCTGTACCTATTCATCTCTTCTGACTTGGCAGTATAACTTTTGTTTACAGTTAAAAATGATTACAATTGATTGGTTGAAAATGAGAGCATTTTTCATGTAACGTGAGTGCAAAGTTGTAACACAAGTACAAAGTTGCAAGTGCAAATTACAAATAGCCTGTGGGCTCTTACAATTTCGTCTATCTTCAGCGTACAAAGAAAGTTGTGTCTGATAACCCGGGGCTAGTGGATTTTGTGATCGGGCTAGTGAATTCTGTGATTAACTTGCCTGAAGGGCAAGTGAAGAGTTTTTGGAGAATTAAAATTACATAAGTACTGTAAGACAAATGTTTTAAATTCCTAATAAATTCATGCGGACCAAAAGTTGCTCCCACAACGTGAAATCTGCATAAACAAGACAAAGTATCGCATTACATGTCAGACGAGATATATTGAGATCTCGTGCATATATTATGTAAGCAGATATTGAAAAAACTTTGGAGGTAAATGCTGCTCGTAACTAATTCTTACTAATTCAGAGAAAGCTATTTGTCTGAATTTTGCTTCATAATCTTTTGTAAGGAATGTAAACAAAAAATTTTGGTCCTGAACTCCAGTGAGAAATTTATTGTTTCAGAAAATATTGGTCATGTGCATTACAATATGGTAAATTCTAAACAGCGATACAATAAGTGTTTGTTGATTAAAATATGTAGACCACATTGTATTGTTTTCACTTTTCACAAAAGTCTTTTGGATGAAAAGTTGCCAGAAATGAAACAAACAATTTTTGAAACCTAAAATCTTTGGTTACATGTAACAAGATGAACCACAAATTTGCATAATTTGTTCACTGATGCGTGACTCGGCACTTTCCTGTGAACTTGAAACTTGACTTGGGAAACCAATTCCCAAACAAGCCTTCTTTAGAAAAATGATCTTCTGAATGCACTTCTTTTGAATGAGAAGCAAACTGATGAAGCTATCAAATTTTTATCCCCTTTAATAATATGAATATCTCCCCTATCAGCTGCTAAGAAATATTACAGCCGGAAATTTTTTTGGCGGCAAATTGGAGAATGAAGTGCTTTCACTGGCAGCTTTTGTCGATGTTATCATTCAATGTGTCCATTGAGAACTTTGGTTTCACTGTTTCAACACCATTTTTTCTCTTAAAAAAAGTGTGTTTCTAAATACTAAAATGTCTAAAATGCATGTTAATCATTCATGTGTTGTGGAGGACCCAGCAAAAATCTACAGTGTGGCAGCGCTAAGAGCAAAACAGCTCTTTTTTTTCTGCTTGCAAAAAATTTTTTTTCAGGCTGGTTAAAATGACTTTCGGGCTAGTAGATGTTAGTAAAACTGACTTTCTTTGCTCCCTGGTCTTGACTTTCTGTGACACATTTTTCAAGTAAATTATTAACAAGTAACAACATGATTTCTTGCCCAATTTGGTGCAATAAGCATTTGTAAATTTTCAAAGTTGCCCTATAGGCTCATGAAATTTTGTTGTCTTTGAAAAATTTACGCGTGCTTATCACCACAAAATTGCACTTAAAATCATGTTATCACCTCGACAAATATGTCTTGTCAGCTGGTTTTTTCTGGTGGTTTTGTAAATCAGTTTGTATAGTTTAAAAAAATAAATATCTCCAAAAATTTTACAAATGCAATTATTAATACATTTGTTTTGTTCAATGAGCTAGTGGCAAACCACCATGTAGTTTTGAGGCATGTTATGTTTTTTAACTTTTTTTTAATCAAAGTAAAGAACAATTCCTGGTGATAATTTTCACCAAGTGAGAATATGTTTCACACCGTGGTATAGAATATCTGCATATTTAACGAAAGGTATTTTCTATCAAGTTTATCAAAAAAAAGCATGAGGTAACTTTCTTTAGGAAAAGTTTTTCTTCTCACCAAAAATGCATTATCTAAGAAGTGTTCAAAACTGAAACATGCTTGAGAAAGCAAAAGAATAAAGGGGCTGATATATCTAACCCTAAATAATTACTATGCTTATAAGAAGGATAGGAAATGGTGAAGTTATTTCACAGTAATTTATTTTTAATATTGATGGCACCAAGATTCAAGTTCTCTCTTGGTCGTAACGTAAACCACTGGATAAAGTCATTAAAATTACATAATGAATTTGTTGTTTTGAATTCAATTTTTTTCATTTGTTCAAATCTCTTGTGCTCTGTTCTTAGTCAGAACAATAACAATACTGATAACATTACATCTCAAAATGACTAAGATACCAGTTCTAATGTAACATCCCTTTTGGAAAAAGTAAAGAACCATCCCTTTGGAGAGGAACACCTTGGTTCAGTAAACAATTTTACTGCCAATATATTGAAATTTTCTGAGACAACACATACAAATACATCTCACTGCTTCAGTAAATTAAAGTATTATTTATTCATTTCACCTGTTTAAAATAATTTTGGTATAACTCATTACTAAGAAAAAGAAAGACCTTGATACAGCAAATATCATCCCCTTTCATAATAATCATAACACAATGCATAGTTCTCTGGCTATTGGGCAAAATGATTGGACTAAATTTGAATGGTATCTTTTCTTTTTAAATCCAGCTTAGATTTCATGACTGATCTCCAATACATTATCAACAACCATGAGTATTTTTCTTGTTTGTTTTGTTGCATTATGTCTCTTCATGACGTTAGGAATAAAATGTAAATTCAGGCACATTTTCATGTTTTCTTTGGTATTTTTGTTACTCAGCATGAATTTCTGAACCATGGAATGAATCAAATTTAGCTGACTTATATGTAAACAGGAAGGTACAGCATGAATTTGATGCTAAATTAATTATGACCCTATTGTTTGTTGTGAAAAATTGATTTAGAAAACCCAAGAGTGTCCACTGATGAAAATGCAAATGTTTTGAGAGAGTTATCACGAAAAATGAATTTATCACATTTTTGTAGCAAAACAATTTTATGATCATATTTACATAACAGGAAAAAAATTCACTTCCATAAAATAAACAGAAGGAATATTTCTTAAGGGTGTTCCAATTTACCTTTTTGGTGCTTCTATAGAAAAACAAATTATACTCAGGCAAAACAAAGGCAAATACCACCTAATTTCAACGACTTTGAATATGAAAATGAATGTATTGCACACAGTTAGGATTAATAAATTCATCGATAGAATTTGTATGGGGTGAGGTTTTCAAAGTCACGTCCGGTATTCAATCTCGAAAGAAAAACATAAAATAGGAAACTTAATCTTTAGTTTCCACTCTGTAGGAATCTGCTCGGTCACTGCATCAAATTTGGCCCTCACACTATCAAGAGATACAAGTGTATAATTATGCAATTCGTCCTTGCTGTGTACGCATGCGGCACTCAATATCAATTATTTTACACTTCACAAGTACATTTGCAAAAGCAGTCTGTAATCAAAGGAAACAGACTTTCTTTTGAGCCTCAGTGTTGTGCTCCTTGTAGTGATACATGATCCCCTTGTTTCTCGCATGATCGCATTGTATACAAACAGCATATTTCTTAGTAATTACCTTTGCAAAGATCATCCTCCACGATTATGGTGTAACCATCTCTGGTCTCCGTAAAACTGAAAAACTTAGGTCTGTTGAAAGCGTAAAGGAGAATAAAACACAATAAATGAGTTTGTTATTTAATTTAAAATCACACCAGAAACCATAAGTTTACGCTGGCAAAACCAAACAAAATATGTCTCAGTAAAACACATGGCAGTCACCCTTGATCAAATTACAAATACACCGGTAGGACGTGACGCGCAAAGAATCTCACAAGATTGTGCAATGATGAGCGCTTCACCAAAACTATGACCATTCTGTGAATAAAACTACGATGATCTTGTGATGAATGGAAAATAACGTTAAAGTTTTTACACAGTTACACAGGAGTTAAGTTCTCCGCATGGACCGCGCTAAAATTTGAACTTACCTTGATCGAGGTAGCAACGAAATTTTTATTAGCGCGTGAGTGTATAAAGAAATTGCATCTTTCTTAATGTTGGAGACGCGAAGCTTGTGCTCCAAAATGTGAAGTTCCGATGAGTGCCCCAAATCTCCATTCATCATTGTTATAAGATACAAAAAATCCACAGAAAAACGCGCGTAAATTGAAGCAGAGGTGTCTCGTACCCTTCCTACTATTTACGACTTCCCGCGGTTGGCAACGTGATTCGTCGACTCGGCTAACTCACATGGAGAAAAAGGCTCCGTGGTTGGCATTTCCTGTCAACTCATCTTTTGTGAACAGGATCAATTCCGGTTCAAAATATCTCTGGTTATAAAAATCGAAATAACAACAACTTCACCGCGCTAGTTGGTCAAGTAAACAACGTGACTGCAATCCAGCAATACCCTCTTTCCGGTTTTTCCCGATCACGAAGGCTTTGCACGTGTAGCAAGACTTTGACAATTGAACAAGATACCGGCGCACTTCCTTCAACGGAAAACCTCAATTATTGAACGAAAACAAATTATTGTAAGCTCATTCAATAGCGATTCAAACAGTATGCAAACTCACGTTATAGATAATTAACGCTCCAAAGTAATTATGCTAATGTAGAGCTGTGGAGTCGGGACAACATTGAAGCGTGGTTACAAGGCAGTACACAAAAACATGACTGAGTAGGGTCCTGTTAGATCGCAAAACATCATAGAAGTCCTTATTTTAAATTGAAGCTGTAATTTTCAATACTTATCTGAGGTAATTCCTCAGGTATAGTTTTTCATCAATTCAGCGGAATAATTTTGTTTTGGAAAGTTCAAAGTGGACTGTCGCGACAATATTTGTCTCTCTATCCCTCCCCCAGTGGAAGCTACTTTAGTCAGTGAAAGGTTTCGTCTTTAATCAAACTGAAAATAGTTGATACAAAATGTCGATTTTTACGCCAACCAATCAAGTAAAATTAACAAATGTAGCGGTGGTAAGGTTGAAGAAATCTGGAAAACGTTTTGAGATCGCCTGCTACAAGAACAAAGTTATGTCATGGCGAAATAAAGTGTAAGTACCTGTACCTTGAAAAGAATTTCATTCAGTGCTGACATTGCAATTTAGTGATTGAGTTTTAAACAATGAAATGTGCTCAAATTCATGTTACCAGTACGTGATTGAGGAACACCGACATATAATGGCTTCAACTCGGATTTTAATAATTTCTCGTGCAAAATTTTAAGCATAGTTCAAAACAACTCTGTTAGGAAAGGGTAGCCGAAACAAACTTATTATTCATACCGCTCAGAACACTATTATTTCTGGATGGAAAGTCATGATGGTAACATTTCAGTGTCTTAATGTACATTTCTTTCTTGTAACAAATGCAAACCTTGAGACATGAGAAGGAGTCGTACAAACCCCTCAGACTCCTTAGAATCTGGCTTCCTTTCTTTAAGCTCTGTACACCCCATTTTCACTACAAATTATGTAGTTCCACATCTACTTTAGCGTAATAATTTAACCCCTCTTATTGGAACACTACCAAAAGGTATTTTTCCCTTCTCTTTGCACAGGGAGAAGGACATTGATGAAGTTCTTCAAACACATACAGTATTTACAAATGTTTCTAAGGGACAGGTAGCTAAAAATGATGATTTGTCTCGAGCATTTGGTACCACAGATCAGACAGAAATTTGTCTGCAGGTGAGCAATATTTATCTCCAATTTAAGTTCCTTACAATTTTTCCTACTTGTCCTAATTCAATTCAAAAGGATGTGGTAAAATATTGGTGTGCATTGTGAACAGTCATATCAAAAGCAGACCTGACATAAATGTTAAATAAGTAAATTTGGTGATGTCAAACAATTATGCCAAAATTCACATTTTGCATCTGTTATATAGATTTTAGCAAAAGGAGAGCTACAGGTATCTGAGAAGGAAAGAAACACACAACTGGAATCAATGTTCAGAGACATTGCAACTATTGTGGCTGACAAATGTGTGAACCCAGAGACAAAAAGACCTTATCCAGTAGGTCTGATAGAAAGAGCTATGAAAGATATTCATTATTCAGTTATTCCAACCAGAACCACTAAACAACAGGTATGGGAAAATTTTTGATTTGTTTATAACAAAGACAGGATTTCATTGCAGTGGGGAGGGGGGAGGGGGTTATCTTTGCATCATCATGGTTTACCATTTTCTATAAATCTTTCCTAATTTTTCAGAGGGTAGTAAAGGGGGAGAATCCTCATCCTGTTTTATGCATTAATTTTGGAAATTAAAATTCATGTGTCATGGATATGAAATGAAAAACTGTGAATCTCTCTTTTTGTACACCAGGTTTCAGGAAAATCTTGAGGTTTTTATGAAATAGAAAAAAACTCATAGGTCAGGTATATTTCAGGAGGCAAATCACACCTCTTGGTGGTTCATAAATTCGCAGATCACTCTAACTTGTCTCTCTGTAAAATTCTCACTCCACATATTAATTATGGCCTTTATCACAGGCTCTAGAAGTCATTAAACAACTCAAGGAGAGCATGGAGATTGAACGAGCCCAAATGCGCCTCAGGTTGATCATACCAAGTCGTGAGGCCAAGAAGGTTCATGAGAAACTGAGGCCACACATATCGACTGTTGAATCTGAGGATTGGCAAGGCGGGGACTTGGAAATGGTAAGGAAGACTGAAGAGTGTGATGAATCAAATGAAAAATTCATGTTTACAAATCAGTGCTGCTAACTGGTAAAGAATAAACTCATTTATTAAATAAACTGCACTGTATGACATGGATTTCCAGCCCTGAGAAAAGCTGTAACTGCACTGTAAAACTACAATAATTTTTTTTACATGTGTTTGATTTTGCCAACTAGCTGCTGACATGTCACTTGCCTTTCTCATCACTCTGTCATAATAAACATGTTCTCCAATTTAATTTTTGTTCTCTATCCTAGGTTTGTCTCATAGATCCTGGTTGTTACAGGATAATTGATGAAACTCTCAGGGCTGAAACTAGGGGACGAGGAACATTGGAAATGATCAGTCTAAAGGATATAGAGGAAGGAGATGAAAGACTAGAATGATCCTGAGAACATAATTTTATACCAATATGCTTCAGCAAGTTTTAAATAAAACTAAAGTGATGCTTACACCGACTAAGAAGTAGACTCATGTATATAAAACAGGCAATCCAAAGATGGCTAGAGAGGAAAATAGTATTGGTCTTCACCTATATACATTTGCTTTATTCTAGAATTTTTTGTTTGAAAATTTTTTCACTTCTGTGCATCAAACTTTGCAAAACTGTCTTCTCAGAATTAACTTGATTTGGGCTCTTTTTTAAATTACAAATTTCTCTCCACTGGGAAGGAGAATGTATCACATATCTCTTCAAAAATCTGAGTCAAACTCTTCATCGTCACATGCAATGTCAGAATTTTTCCTTCTATTTTCTGTTGTTTTCCTTTTCACTTTAAAAACAGATAGTGAAATCTCCTCTTTCTCTGCTTTCTTTATGATCTTTAATACCTTTTTCCTTTCAACTGAAATAAATTTTAAATGCAATGGTTACTAATTTAAGTACGGCTTAAAAATGAAAAATTCAACACTAGTTATTTGTGTATGTTTAAGCGCTAATTTTTTCCTCAAAAGTTCTTTCCCCTCTGTAGTAATGATATGAAAAAAATCTGTTCTAAAGGACTGTGGTCATTTCGGCTAGGAGTCCTTTTGCTAATGGCCAAATTGCTAATGTCTGAAGTAGTTCCACCAATTTCTCAGGTCAGTTCACTAACACTTGATTGGCTGATTCCCTAATGTTTTAGATAATTTCACTGGACAGGTCTTGTTTCCTTTGAAATAGCAATAAATGAAATGCTATAAACATATGTGTAAGATTGGCCGAAAAATGGACTGGAATTGGTCAAGTTCTGCTGATGGAATCACTAAATGTTTTGAATATGGTAGTGAAATGACCCATGAGATGTTAGCAAATTACCTGAGACTTTGGCAAAATGATATAAGACATTAATGAACTGGTTTTTGGTGAAACAACTTGAAGGCAACAGCACTGGTTACCATTGTGATAAACCCTGGATGCTCAAAATCTGCATAACTACTAATAGTTGTTACTTAAGTCTTGACCAATTTGCTTTTCCTATTGCATGGTATAATAACAAGTGCAATTCTGCAGCCTGAGATTTGAATCTGTTTTCTGGTTACTGTTTTGATGAGAGAGTTTAGACAGAGAATTCAGAAAAAGAGAATCTTTCAATAATTGATAAATTTATTACTCATGATGTTTATATTGCTACCATTAATAATAACAGAGAAAAGAAACCTCTTCTAACCTAAATAGTGTCATCTGTTGAAAACTCTCTTGTTATCAACTATGTAGGAGTCTCAGTTCAATAAAACGACTAACCTGGTGTTTTGCAATTCTGCAACAACTGAAGGAGCTGGTCTTTATTATGACGTATTAGGAACTTTTGACAGGAGAGAATTGTACCTAAAATGGAAGATATTAAATTTAAATTATTATGAATTCCTTTATTTTAGGTCAAAATATTTTTATATAAGTCTATAAGCCTGTGTGACTTCTTGAGCCATCAAAAATACCACAAAGTGGGTCCACTCTGTTAAGTCAGTACTAGTTAATTAAAATAACTGCAAATCTAGCAGAGGGCAGATCTTATTTTTCTGGCCAGTTTCCATTTCTGAACCTTTAGTAGCATCTAATTTCTCCTTACAGTCTCATCACGGATTCAAACACAAAGGTTATGAGACTAAAGAAAGTGATTGCCATCTAATGAAGCTCTTGATTCTTAACCAAAATTCTCCTTGACTGCATCATGGGAAATGTAAAGCCAGTAGTGGAGGGACATCTCAAAGCCACCCTAATGACAATGTGTCAAATTGAATAGATGAGCAAAGATTTGATTCCACTATTTTCTAGAGTTATGTTAGTTATAGAAATCCAGTCAGTGAAGGTTACTTCTGAGCTGTTTTAAGTTCTTTGCTAAAATCTGAAAGTTAATCCAAAATTTTCAATTTCAGTTCTTTGAACACTAGATCATGATGTGTTCTGTGTATGCTGGATTTCGACAGAGACATTGCCATACTTTAACCCCTTATGCATCAGTATGCATATTCCCCATACTGTTCTCCTATGTTTCCTAAGGTGCTGACAAGGAGAATTTGTTTAGCCATCAAGAGCATCCTTAGCTGGTGATGATTTCCTTTGTTCTTGTGACCTTAAAATTTGATTCAACTATGATATTGTGTGAAGAAGAAGAAAAGGATTAATGAAATAACATCATATTACCTCCAACATGAAGAACGCGGAACACACATGGATGAACATCATTTTTTATTGTTATGGTTCTTATGAAGGTGACTGCTGACCAAACCATCCTATAATAATCTCTGGCACATGCAATAAATGCCACTCCAGTGACAGAGTTTAAATACTTTACTGAAATAAAATACAAAGCAAATTACACAGAAAATTAGAACGATTGCAAGCGCTGTAGTGTTGACTAGCTCTGCATTTTGGGTGTGGGGTTGGGGTGGGTACTCTACAAAGTTTTGAATGGTTCTCTCAGAGTTCTCCACCCTAACGTCCAAATGCGTAATCTTTTACAAGAAATATACACGATAGTATTAAAAGATAACCTGTAATATACCTATCATAGATCTATTATGGGAAATACCTTACGGCCGAGCAAGAAGCTGGGCTTAACAAATTCCATGCCCTTTTGAGAAAACGTCTCGAGAAAATTTTGCAATTACTTAGCTTTCGTCTTTCTATTTATTCATCCTCTGTAAATGGGTAAAACGTCTCTCACCTTGCAATGAGCGAGCAACACAAGCCATTCCATAATCTCCATGAGCCGAGATCACGGCTTTCTTCACAGTGTCAAAGACTACTCTTCCATCAATTCTCTCATCAACTTGGCCGTCTTTACAAGAAATTTCCACCAACAAATACCTAAAAAGGAGCGAAGAAGAAGGAAAATTTTTAGTTTTAAGCAAGCAAGAATCCATAACTGAGACTGACCTTCTTGTACGTGAAACTGACCTTTTTTTAAAGCGCACCATTCTGTGTACTTCCTGCTCCTTGTCCGTAACAGATCAAACGTTCTGTCAATATTCGCCAGGCGTTCTTCACTTTCTCTACTTAGTAACCGGGCTCTTGGTCTGGAAAGTACCTACGTTGTATAAGAATAGCTGCAGATTGCGCAAAAAACATGGCGGTCAACGAAGCGTGTTCCCAGATGCGTTATTTTTGTATAGCAATTACCTTACTTTTGGTATCGATATCTGTTCATATAGATGGTAAGTGTTATAAATGTTGAGTTGTCGTCTGAGCTTTACAAATGCAGCGTTCTCAAAAGAAACATTGCATCAGAACTTATCCTTTCAGATCCTCTCCAGCTTCGAGAAGTCACAGCGGAAGCACGCACGTTTTCACAACTTGAGAGACACACAAAAGGCAAAAGGAGGAGATTATTTTGTTGGAAAAGGGTTGAAACACACTTGATATTTCCCCTTTTTAGGAAAAAAAAAAGAGATATTGAACATAAAAGGGTTAATTAATTTACCAAGGACTAGTATTGTGTTCTTATATGGCCTAACTTACTTTTTCGGCAGCACATTCTCCGATTGATCCAAGTATTGTGAGGAAGCCAAACTGGCAAGATCGTCTTATTACTTGGTGGATGTCAGTGAGAGTGTCCATAGGAACTCTGATCCTCGGGGGATTAGGTTTGACTTGGTTGATAATCAAGATCACAGGCAAAGAAAAACACAGGGATGAATATTTACGTTGGAAAGCCAGGCAGGAGAAGGTTTGATAAATTTGTTATTAAGTTTCAGTGTATCCATCCTTCCTCCCTTTTTGACTTTCTCTTATCCTTCCTCTTTCTTTTCTGGAAATCTTTTGTTAGAGAGAGAGTTACATAATTATTAACTTGTGAATCCAGAAAGAGATTTAACTCTCTGACCTCAAAGAGTGACTAGCCTTTAATTTCTCCTTAAAATATCCCCCTGAATCACACATCAAAGTTATGAGAACATAGGAAATGATCAGTGATCAAAGAAGTTCTTGATTGTTATACAAATTCTCCTTGTCTGCAAATGTATGAAGAATATGCATAATGATGTTAGGGTGTAAAGGGTTAAATCATGACTGGGAATTGTTCTGTGACTCTGTGTTTATTATTAAATGAATATTTTATTATGTGCAAAAGCATTTGGCTTAAAAGGGCCTTTTTTTCTGGCAGGAAAATAAAAAAGTTTTGAAATCTCCAACTGATAAGACAGAAACTACAGTGTCAAAGGATTTGAAAATATTCTTTGGAACCCAAACTGGAAAGGCTCAGGTACATCAGCAGGAGCTGTATTTGCCTATTAATTGTTAAATCATTATTATTGTGATGTATGCATTGAGCTGTTACGAGGATAGGGTATCAGACAGATAATATTTTTAATCTTGCAGGTTAGCTCTAAAAATTATTTAGTTCATGGCCAGTGAAAACTTGAAGCATATTCAACTTTTAGCTATGTATTACTAAGTGAAATACTGTGGCCAAGTGAAAATTGCTGTGTTTAGTTTTGAATCTGTTTGGCAGAAAAACTACATGTGTTTAGTACCCTACTGATTCACCTCACTGAAGATAAGCTCTGACTCAGATTCAGTGATCATAAAAATTATTTTAATTCCAGAATCTTGCAGAGTTAATACAGTCTGAAGCACAAGAAAGTGGGTTGAGAGCTGAACTTGTGGATTTAAAGAATTATGAACCAGAGGACAATCTTTCTGAAGAGGTATCTCCAAATTTCACTTTTTTTTTATTTCTTTATATCCAGGTAGCATGCAAATAAATTTCACTTTAACCCTTTAACTCCCAGAATTGATTAACATGAAACTTCTCCCTACAATATCATGCATAGCTCAGCAAACAAGTAATGAGAATATTAAAACTTATTAGGTAGAAGCTGGTGTCTTGATCCAGCACCAAGTTCTCTCAACTAATTTACAAGGAAATGTGTAGCAGCTAGAGGGGAGAATTAACAATCAAATCTTGGGAGTTAAAGGGTTAAAAATATTGGAAAATTCTAAGTTTTTGGTTTATCACCGGATTAGTTTTTATCTGAATCCCGGAAAGTTTATTGGAAGAGAAATATGGTTCTTAAAGGGTTAACTTTTCTTGTGCTCTGTATCTAAATGAATGTGAAAAACAGGTTTGTCAGGCACTTGCCAGAAAGTGACCAGTATCAGTTGTGTGAGCCAAAGGAAGGAGAGTGTTCAGGTCACTTGCAGTCCCATACAATTGGGATCTACTTTGCCTACCAAGCAAGGGAGATCTAGGAAATTTTTAGTAGGGGGTTGGAGAGGGGGATCCAAACTGTGATACACAAAACTCAGAATTCTCTTGAATTCTCCAGCCTTGATAAGCATAGAAATATTTCAAGACTAGTATGTAAATTCTAGATACTCATTCTTTGCAACACTTTTGGTGTTGGACAAGCACTAATAAAAACCACATATAGGGGAGCAGGGTCTGGACCCTACTCAACGATCCCTTTGTAATCACAACTGAATGATAAATTTTACTGTATGTTTCAAGTGAATCTTATTTTCAATTCTCTACTCCACAGACAGCAACTTGTGTATTTATTGTTAGCACCTATGTGGATGGAAAGCCTCCAGAAAGTGTTCAATGGTTTTACAAATGGCTAGAGGAGGCTGCCAATGATTTTCGTGTGCAGAAATCCCTCCTGCAAGGGTTAAACTATGCCGTGTTTGGCCTTGGTAATTCACTCTATGAAGACAAGTTTAACTTGGTAAATAAGTCTAATAAGTTATAAGTTAGTAAAACTTGGATTTAAAAAAATTGTGATAAATGGTTATAAGGTTGTATGATTATTTTTGAAATGAGTACCTAGTAATAACTATTATTAGATCTCTGTTATCATGCATCCTTGATTGGGCATTTACCCTTTTACTTCCGAGATATCATCAGTAATTCTCCCTACTGTTTGCCAAACAATACCTATGATGTTAATTTGGAGAATTTGATGTTAGATCAACTGATAATCCCTTTTTGATATTTTTCTTTAGTTCAATCACTTTCATGCCTGAAATCATATTTGATATTGTTAGTAGAAATTCTGTGTTGGTCACTCATGGGAGTTAACCCTTTAACTCCCAGATCAAATTTGTCATTCTCCTGACTGTCAACCATACATTTCTTATAATGTTAGTTCAGAAAATCTGGTATTGGATCAACTAATTATCCCTAAATTGATATTTTTCTTTATTCTCATTACTTATCTGGTCGATATTGTATTGATCTTGTAAGGAGAAATTCTGTCTTGGTCACTCATGGGAGTTAAAGGGTTAATGCCTTTGAAATAAATTATTATTCACTTTCAAAGGTTACATTTGACATTTCTGGATCTGATTTATGTGCCCATCAATTTGACTAGAACAAAACAGTTAAGTGACCTGTATTGTGACATGCTCATATTCAAACATTCTCTTTTTGTAATGTGTCAGGTTGGGAAAAGAGTTGATAAATGGCTGGAGTTGCTTTGTGCAAGACGTGTCTTTCCTTTTGGAATGGGAGATGAAAATGTAGCCAACAGCAAACATGGAGGTATGGAGTTGTTGAAATAATCAGTTAAAAGTAATGGGTTAAACAGTGAAAGTAGGTTTTAGGTCTTTTTTTGAAATTTCTGAAACATGAGGGTAGAGTTTGTTGTGTTAATAAGGAGAGTAGTTCTGAAAGGAATGATGAAATTGTCAGTAACAGAAGCTGACAGAAGTTTTAAAATTGTGAACAGAAGCGATCAACAGAGTGAATGGAAAATTATTTGGATCGTCAAACGTGTCCCTGAAAGCTGAATTTCTTGACACTCTTGGTACAATGTATCTTTGGTAAGTTTACTGTTTTGACACAATTCTGGTACCTATTGGTATTTGCCAGATAACAGGAAATTTCTGTAGAGGGTCATACCATATATTTCAGTTTTAATTTTTTCCTTTGCTTTCAGGCACAGAGGAGGATTTCAAATTCTGGAGAACAGATTTCTTGTCCTTCATAAAAGGTGCAAGTGGAAAATCAAAGGGAAATGTATGTCAGCGTTCCAGAGGATCAAACTCTCAAGTTGATGAAACCTGTTGTCAGAGTGATGAAGGTCCTCAGGAAAATGAGGGTCAAGATGATGAGGTAACATGTGAAAGAAAGAAAAAGACACATAAACATAATATTAATTTAATTTAGTCTGGTCTAATAAATTTGAAAGGGAACTAGTGTTATTACATAAGTACTTGGGACTCAAAAGATTTCATTGTGGTCCACAAATTAAAATCAAATCAACTGTAACATTTATTTAACCCTTTGATCCCTTAGAGTGACCAGCATCTAATTTCTCCTTACATTATCACCCCTGAATCAGACTATAAGGTCAGGAGATTAAAGGAAATGATCACAATCTTAACATTGATTGATTATTAAACAAATTCTCCTTGTCAGCACCTTAGGAAATGTATAGAAAACAGTATAGAGAATACTCATATTGATGTTAGGGTGTAAAGGGTTAAGAGTGCAACTGGCAGGAGGCAAACCAGTTGGGTTTTTTCAAACCGCCAAGGAGTTGTACTTGGGATTACAGAGAAAAAAAATTGATCTGGTGGTCAGTGCTGTCAGTGTTATCAAGTGGGTGAAAACCTCATGAACACCTTGTCAAATAACTACATTTTATTACAGATTAAAGATTAAAAAGGTTCTGTTTTTGGAAATGTCTTTGTCATTTATTTAGTTGCTGGGTGATCCATGTTTTCTTGTTTCCTTTGTCAAGGTTCTGTATGAAAGCACAAGCGAGGAGTCTGCAGGTGAAGGTGAAGAAGAGAGCAATTCTGGCCTGGTAGATTTAGAAGACCTGGGTCCTATGATGGATAAAATGAAAAAAGATAAGGTAAGAATATTTTGATAAACATAGCACTCTATTTGAAGTGAGTTGGAGCATAGCTTCAAGCATTTGCAACCACAAATTGATAGTTCTGTCTGTGAGAATATCGCAGGACTATTATTTGACACAGGACTTTACACAGGCTCAATTCCAGTTTGATTTAATGTAATTTATAATCATGCAAGTGTTTCACACCATCAAAGGATTGTCTTTTTTGTACGCTTGAATGATATAAATGCATCAGAAAGCACACAGAACTGCACATAGACTATGCGACTCCTTGGCAACACAACTCACAGACAACACTCGAGGTTCTGAGATGGTATCTGGTGGTAATGTCATCAGTATCTAACCTAGACAGCATTTACATGTACATAGACAATCAAGACCAAATCATGTACAAATGAGTGTTGCAAATGATGTTTTGAAAGTAAACAATAGTTTCTTTTCCTCAATTGGTCCATTTGTAGTCACAGTTTCTGTAATCATTTCGTTTCATGTTAATCAATGCAGGAAGAAAAAGGAGTCACAAGCGTGAAAAGCTCAAAGAGAGTTGTAGGTATGTTAACTGTGTAGAGTCATTAATAACACGCGGTATTTGTTTTCCAAATATTAAGTTTGTGATTTGTTTCTAAATATTACTTTCAAGACGAACGTGATTTGTACAAAGTACGGTTGTACTTTGTTTTAAGCTCTCTAATGGTCCGGAAACTATTAATTGAAACTATATTTGAAGGTAAAATCTTTCTTGAACATGACATTTTGGCTTTGGTGAATGTTGGCGCGCGGGAAGATTTGGGACGAGTTAGGGAGAGGTTTGTCAGGGGGCTGGCACTAATAATGAGCGCGTGTTCTCAGGCAATCCCAGAATCCAGAGCTTTAGCAGAGAGAGAAGTGTGCTGACCTTCTGGTCACCACTTAAATTAAGGAGACTGAATTGCTTCCATGTTTCTTTGCTGAAGGTAGCAAGAAAAAGGTTAAGACAGAACCCAAAGAGATGATAACACCCGCACTGGAGAAAGCCCTGACAAAACAAGGTACTAAATGGTGATTATAGTAACTGTCATTTGTTGTTTTCGATGATAGTCCTAAGAATGAGGGTATGAAAGCTTTTATTGGAATGGGCGCTACCCATTGTCAATGCTTGTAAAGTTTTTAATTACTAACCGTGTTCGAGGTCTGTAAAGTCATTTATGTACCGAGGTTTTTCTACTCTGAGTTATGGCCCAAGTGCGGAGCGCGCGGGCCGTGATTCCGAGCGGATAAGACTCGGCCTGTAACTTACAATACGGACCTCGAACTCGGTTAGTAAGGGGTATTTATTATGTGACCTGTGATTGAAAAACATTTAGCAAAAATCCCTGTTTAAAGATCGTATGCGTTGGCGTGAATAGGGACGGAAAATCCCATGCGGCCCTGCGAGATACGAGCTGAGTAATAAGAGAAAAAGCACCAGCGGTAGTCACATGATATGATGCTTTTTGACTGAGTGTAATCGAGCCGGACTGGAAAATATTCAGCTCTCTTTCATGGCGTGCAGACCTTGCGTTTATGATTTGGAGCCAAAACAAAAATTTTCCCGTTCGGCCCTCCACTTCAGTCAATAATAGCACAGTCTCACCCAGCTTGTAGGCTAGATCAATATATTTCCATCAAATTCAAGTACCGTGATTAGCCAGTGCTAGGCCCTCGGTCTGTAACGGCGAACGAATGAGCGGGCGAGAGAAATCAGTGGAACCTGAATGCCTGGAACAAGTTAGGATCTCATCGAAAGGTTGCTTTGTCAGTTTTTACTATAACTCCAGCTCTCCTTGATTTCAGGCAATCAAATCTCACTTACTCTTTCTTAAGCTTGTTTCCTCGTTTGTCGTTATTTTCTAGGTTACCGTCTGATCGGTTCTCACTCCGGAGTCAAACTATGCAGATGGACAAAGGTATCTAGAATTGATGTTATTCCACTTTCAAACGAGTTAGATACTTTTCATGCGCAGTGTATTGTGTCTGTCGTTATCACGCCAAGTCACATAAACTCGTTTTCAGTTTTGCACCTCTTTCTACATCAGCCATCAGTCAAGTCAAATGATATTCCATTCTTATCACTTCTTCCTTTAAAGGACGCACTTTAGGCCTACACGTCGGTATTGTTAACTCTTAAGTGTTATGCACATTTTTATTCACTAGAACGTATTCATTTGTCATTACGAATCCACCTGGTTACAGGTCAAATTTGACAACCATCTCATTGAAGCCGAAAAATTCAGAGAGAAATTTTTCACAGTGAACCCAACTGTTAATGTCCTCTCAGCTCTTTATTGCACACTGGGGTTTAACTCTGCAACTCTCTTTACCCGCTTTGTTACGACCTCGTTTGCATGACACTATCACGTGGTACATACACGAGTGCTAGGTTCGACTCAGTGATACTTGTGTTTTGTTCGCAGTCAATGTTAAGAGGTCGTGGTGGTTGCTACAAACATACCTTTTATGGTATAGAGAGTCATCGTTGTATGGAAACAACACCAAGCTTAGCTTGTGCTAATAAGTGCGTGTTTTGTTGGAGGTCAGTGTTATTGACTTGAAGAGTCCATGCTATTTGTGAGGATGTAGTTTGCAGGGGGGAAAACATTTCTCTACAAGTGTCACTTCTCAGTCAGAGTGATTTTAGATTGAGTGCCTCTGTTTTGCTTTACCACGCACTTTGATTGGTTTACAAATTTCTCGTCACCCTCCTAACCAATCAGATGAAAAGTAAAACCGATCGCGACTTGGTCACACGCGTTTTCCCGCGCTTCAGGTAGTTTGCTTGTTTTTACGGTGGGTTATCACCGACTCCTTGAGATACTTTTCCTTTGTTTAGATTGGTGTTGTGATAAATTTGGTTTTGCGACACTCAATCACAAATCTGATTTCCTCTTTGGTGTTTTATTTTGGGCGGCGTCGGTAATCTTTAGTGAAAATGCGAGATACTTTCATCTCAGTTAAGTTCGAAAATCTTTGGAACTGTTTGAAAGATCAAGGATACCAGGTCTGAAGATTTGGTTTACTTAAAAATGCATGCTCGAACGATTTTTAAGGGAAAGTACGTTCCTGAAACTAAACAATTTCTGACCGCGCCATTTAAAAATTTTCGTGAAAGTTTGAAACTTTTTACCGTGTCTCGAGAACCCATCGGGTAACTTGACTTTCCGTCATTGTTTTCAAATATGCTAATAATTCGACCACAGACGTCGCCATTTTGAATAATGCTTGGCAGCCTGGCCGCTTGCACGTGACGTCATAGTCTTCTCTTTTATTTTTTTCTCCCCTTCAGGCATCATACAAATCCTGTTGGAACAGAATGGAAGTGGAAGATGGACGATCCTGACACGATTGTGAATGGCGCCATGGAGAATCACCGCAACATGATCAAACAGTTCAGAGGTTAGTTGCATTAGTGACAGGTCAGGACCTTTTGAGCTTGTTTCTGATTCGTCTATTTTAATGCACTTTCAGGTGTTCCTGGTGTAAAACCTGAGAGATTCGAAGAAGGAATGAAGATAAGACATTGTGCTCTTTCTCTTGTTGGTACGTAATTTTTCGTAACTTTAAATTTTTGGTAATTTTTACTCAAGCTTGGTAACACCCTGTAAATGTGTGCTTTTTCGTTCTGTCCAAGGTGAACCTATCATGTATCCAAGAATAAACGAACTCGTCAGGATTCTGCACGGACATGATATCTCATCTTTTCTCGTGACGAACGCACAGTTTCCTGACGCTATAAGGTGGGTCCAAAACGATTTTTACCCTCCCCCTCCATCTCTTTAGTTACTCTGTGCAACATGGTTCTTGCACGTTGACGAATGAGTAAGTAGCTTTAGTCTCAGAATAAATTATCCAGCCTATTCTAAAGACTTTTTTAACCAATGCATAAGCACTTAGATTGAATCCGAAACAGTCGATTCTTCAGTAAACTATCACCGGGTCTGTGATTTCGAGCAGTATTATATTTTACAGAGGGGCTCCCACCGAGAGAAAAAATTGAGTGGTTCTACGTTTTGAGTTATAGTATGATGATGATTCATTATAAGAAACTGGTTATTCACATTTCAACCGGAAAGCAAAAAAGAGGATCGATGAGCTTAACGCCTTCAAGTTTATCTCCTCCTTAAAATAACGAAGCTTCGTCAGCGCACAAATGCATATGTGAAACCAGAACGAGTTATTTGGAGGACACGTTTAGGTATTTTAGAGCGCATTGTGTACCTTTCCATTTTCAATACTGCTATAATCTTCAGATTAATCATTTGTCACTCACGAAGGTCGAATATATTACCGTATTTATTCGAAATAACGCCCAACCTCGATTAAGCACCCACCTTATCGGTTGGAAAAGTTGATGAGTGCCCAACCTCAATTCAGCACCCACTGCTCTCAAGGTGAGCGCTTAGGACGCTTAATCGAAGAAATGTAGTATTCCCGTGTGCGGCTAGTGTTTGTCGTCCTTCTATGGTGGGTAGTTTGGTGTTTTGTTGCGGCTATGAGCGAGGAAGGATTGAGCAAAGTTGTCGACAACATCAATGTAAGAGAGATTTTTTTCCTTCTCAGGAACCTCATTCCAGTAACTCAGTTGTATGTCAGTGTGGATGCCAGCACTAAAGAAAGCCTCAAGAAAATCGACCGACCCTTGTTTAGAGATTTCTGGCCTCGGTTTTTGGACAGCCTTAAGGCTCTGTCAGAAAAGGTTTGAAGAGGCTTTCATCTCCGTTTTTTGCTTTGTGTCAAAATGTTGTGATTATATTAGTGGCGCTGTTCTAGTTGTCTTGTACATGAAAACCAACTCACCCGACCAGTTTGAATCGCACCTTGAGGAGATTGCTGTTGTAGCAATTTGTGTTTTGTTTTACGTGTCTCTGTTGCGTCAAACTCATTGGATAACCTTTGAAGTTATCGTGAATATTCGTAGCGTCCTCTGATTGGATGGTGGTATCGGAGCCTCTTCGGTTTCGTCAGCCGTTGCTTTCTTAAGCTTCGGAACTATCGAGCTCTTTTTTCATGTAACTGGAAATAATATATATATATGTGAAAGTTACCATTTCTTATTGTGTTTTTAATTTCAGGGTCAGAGAACTGTGTACCGTCTCACGCTGGTTAAATCCTGGAACAATGAAGAAATCAAAAACTATGCCGACTTGGTATCTATTGGCAAACCAGACTTCATTGAAGTTAAGGTACTGTTACGTTTCTTTGTTTCCTTACGAAACATCATTGTGCGCTGAAGAATTTACTTATAAAACAGATATAAACAATGTCTCCCAATGCTCTGTGTCGCCTAAAAGTTGGCTTTTGAACTGTCACACATTCTCTCTTTAGATGATGTGTTATTAGAATCTGGATCGTGAGATCTCGGGTTGAGCCTTGGCTGAGTCACAATGCTAAACAGTTTGCTCCCACCATGCCCCCCTCTCTCTCTCTCTCTCCACGTCGGAGTGTACATTGATACCAACAGACTGTCACGGAAACCTGACTTAAAGCTGGGGTAGACTGAAATATATCGCATCTCATCCAGGGGGAGTAACGATAAGTAAATATACCTCAGTCCCGGGAAAACGAATACGCTCCCTTACCAAAGTACGCTGGTGATCACTTCCTTTTTTCTCATGAACTTAATGTGTGATTCAGGAGTGATCTTGTAAGGAGAAATTAGATGTTAGTCACTCTGAGGGTTCAAAGGGTTAACTGCTATGACAGCATTGTGGCTGTGTTCCTTTGTAGCTCACTCAGGAGTATTGAACCACTTGTCCTTGGGTGATTTATATAGAATATTATGTTTATTCTGTGTTTCTCGTTTCTTCCTCAGGGTGTAACCTATTGTGGGGAATCTAAAGCATCCACCCTAACGATGCAGAATGTACCATGGCATGAAGAGGTAATGTTGTTAAAACTTTTAACTCTTCCTACTAATTCTGACTCATTTGATTAGGCTGGTTTTAATAATTTGGATTGTTGTCCATTGGATGTTAATTGTCTTTGTCCGCTTATCCTGTTACATTTACATTGATTTAGTTTCAGTGGAGAATTTGCATGTCCTTCTTCATCGACTGAGTCATTTTTTACATTGTTCCAATGGGTTATCATTTTCTCCTCAGGTCATTGGGTTTGTTCAGAAGCTAACAGATTTACTACCTGACTATGAGATCGCCTGTGAACATGAACATTCCAACTGTCTTCTTATTTGCCACAAGAAGGTGAGAGTTGAAAATGCAACTTTTTTTTGACGTTTCCTCACAAACTGGTCGAACATATCGCGCAAACAAATCCCTTAGTTTGTACTGAAAATGACAGATATGGCAGCGCCAGTACACACGCTGATGCGAGGCTCTAAAATCGAGAGAGAAAGATATGAAAAAGGACTTGGGTACTAGGATCATCGATGCACTTTTATTGGTGTTTTGCTGTCTTTTTTCTTACCTGACAAAAGGAAAAATTTTTGAACACTCATGATGGGGCCTGTAGATTTCCTTATTGCTACTTTGGGTTTTATTTTTTTATTATTTTTTGTACTCTTAGTTTAAGAAAGAAGATGGATGGTACACATGGATTGATTACCCCACTTTCCACCGTCTGGTAAGGGCTGAAATATTCTTCACCAATACTGTTTAATTTTCACAACCATCATCTTGTTTGATGAAGGTAATGCTTTGCTTAAAGTGAATATTACATCCATGGTTTAAGCCCATAACATACAACTATCGTTAGAACAAGTCGTAAAGCGTTTTTGGTGGCCATTACTTTTGTATCCCCAATGGGGGACCATTAATCATTTCTTCGGAGCGGATTATCTTTACGCATGGCCGTCATATCATCTTGCATGGCTTTGCACCCTGATTCTTCTCACTGTTTTTTATACACTTCTTGTGGTACTGACAAGGAACGTTTGTTAAACAAGGGCTTCTCTAGGGGCGATCACGCGCGGATTTAGGGGAGGGGTGCAAGGGGTACGCACCCCTCCCCCCCCCATGACCTTTGGCTTTCTAATATGACTAGTATTCTGCGGAAAAAGAAAAAAACTACGTGGTTTATTGGTGTAGAAGTAAAACAAGCAGCAATTCTCATTATGTGATTGCCCAGTCCTACGTCTTTTTCCTCGTTGTTCTCTTTAAAAGCTGGTTTATGTCATTCTTTAGTGGTTTGCCCCCTACTGAGAAAAATCCTGAATCCACCCCGCCATCATCGATTAAAGTGTAGCATCAATTTATTTCCTGGTGCATTGTTTGTGTAGATGCAGCGTTATGAAGAGAGCAACGGAACCGAAAACTTTACAGCACTGGACTACATGGCTAAGACACCTGAATGGGCCTTGATGGGCCATGAACAGAGAGGGTTCGATCCAGAGGAAACTCGGTGGCATCGCAAGAAGAAGAAGGACATTAGTGGCTGTTAAACATTTCCGATTGACGAATTTGTGTGTACTTACCTTTGCTGTTGGGTTAGTCCGCTCTATGCGGTCCGAAAGAGTGACGTATTTCAAGTATGAAGTGGAGGAGAGGTTTCGATTTCATTTTTGGAGTGCGTGACTTTTTGGGAACATGATGGCAACATTTTCGAGGAGCAAACTGGAGGATTACATTAATGTAGCTTATAACTGGACATTTAAGCCCAAGAAAACCATTTGAAGAAACGTTTTATCGTAAGTCTTCAGCACCTTTAGCTAGTTGGCAAGCAGGGCCTCATTTAGCACCATTAGACTCGCGTTTTCCTGCACCTGGAAAGATTTGAGACGTGTCGGGGGGAGGTTTTCTAAGTATCTGGCTCTAATGGCTAGTGTCAGACCCCTGACACCCTTATACTTTCCCGCGGGCGGAAGAAACGCTCGTGCCAGAGCGCTTATAATAAGGATTAGCTCGTAAGCTAAACCTTTATCCTGTTGGTTATATTATTAACTGTGCGTAATTTATATTATTAACTGTGCGTAATGTTGATAGACGCAATCTGAGTATGAAATGCGTGTAAATTACGCAGAGAAAATAAAACGGAACCCGTCAAATTCGTGTACTGAGGTTATAGTGTGTGAACTAAGACAAAACGACATATATGACGGCTTGAAATTCCAGTCTACAGTGCCGTAAGTAAAAGAAGCGTCTAACAATGTTGAATTACGAATATCGTCAGAGATTGACGATAGGAAATTTTTTCCTTGGCGCGCATCAGTCTATCATAATTGCGTAAATTTGCTTCGAGCCAAATTTAAGCGATAAAGTATAACTCTCCTCTTGCGATGAATATTCTTTATATGTTGTAAAAATATTGAAAATGATAAATAAATAAAAACAAAATAGAACAAAATAATATAGAAGATAAACCCAAGACCAAATAGATATGCTCAGTTCCTCATATTAATTGCGCTTCCTGAAAAAAAAAGCGATGAAATTAAGTTTACATAATCGGCGTCTAGCCTCTCGAACTATAAATCACGATTCTGGTGCTTGAACTGTGCATGTTAGCTTAAACGCGAGGATAACACATGTAAATAGAGCGCATATGCCTGCATAACAAGAAAACTCGCTTTAAAAAATACGTGTAAGCATGCTTTGCTTTGCAATATTAATTGATTCCCCACGCAATCTTCTTTATTCTTCCTGATGTTTTCAAAGAAGAAAATATCAAGAATACGGGACTGGCAGTTCTAGTTTACAGTTAATGAAGCGAGGGTTTCATTGGGTACACCATAAAATATCATAAGGCTGAAAGGATCCTCTCGTCATCGAACTCCTGGGTAGGCACCATGGGCCGCTTTTGGTAATTACGTCATGGAAGACTATTGGGTTCACGTTACACGACATAAAATAGAGAGGCCATGTTGGTCAGTGTTCAATGAGTGTTGTGTTCGTTCGCCGTTGGCTTGTGGCTTTTTTCATAGCCATAGGAATTATTTGCATAGTTTTTATTTCCCTCAGGAAGGTAAGGCCTCTTAGTTGAGCTAGTGTTGACTCAAAACGTCTGGTTAAGAGGGAATTTTGATTTTAAAGATACTACGTTTACCTGGTGATGAATGTCTCAGTGGAGACTGTTTACATATGGCGAGCACTGTTATGCTGAAAATTTGTGACCCCTTTTTGTGTACTTGGAGGTTTCAATATTTTAGTGCTGATTGTGGAATAGGTGACAGTGACCCCAAAATGAAAAGAATTGTGGAAGTAACTGGCTTTTATTGAAAGCTGTTCGAACTCTGTTAAAAGATTGACCCTTTGTGATATCTCTCAGTTAGTAAGTGCACCATGATTGGTCAATTTAGTGGGCTATATTTCACTGTGCGGCCTGCTACAGGAATATGACTGGTCAATTGAGTGGGCTATTAAAAAAAATGTATTTCACTGTACAGTCTGCTAAATTCAAACGTTTGTCTGAAATGAAATCCCCCCCCCCCCTCACTGCATTGAACCCAGAGATAAAATAAATATCTTACTAACCTACTGCAAGTTACAGAACCTAATTTTTCTCTGCTTGGATTTATGGCTTGTGGGTCTCACACTAGGGCAATAAACCAGAAAAAAAACTTTCGCAGTAACTTACATTATGGACCCTGAACTCTGGTAGTAAGAGGTGTATATTTAATCTATTTAACCATGGCAATGCTAATATGTACTCAATCTTTTCTTGCACTCCAAGTAGCTAAATACTTGGAACAGAAAATAGCTTTTGCATGTTTTTTAACAATTGAGTAAAGAACTTGGTATGAAAATACCATTTGTAATGTTGGCTCCTTTTTCAGTCTTATCAAGAGTCATATATCCTTGAAGTTCCTACCACTGAGTTTCAGTGGATCAATATTGAGAACTTGACAGAGTTTAGAGATTGCAGAAATTCTATCCAAGGAGCTCTATTGATTGTTGATGAAAGAGGTAAGGAATCATTTTTTGTTTAGATTAACAAATTGTTTTGAAAATCAGTTGCACTGACTCTTATGAAGGAGCCTCTTAAAGTCAAGATCATCATAAACTTGCATTCAAAAGTGAAATATTAGAGGATGAAAAGTTATGAAGGTAAAGGCCAGTTAACCCTTTAACTTCCATAAGTGACCAAGACAGAATTTCTCCGTACAATGTCAATACAATATCAAGTACACAAGTGATGAGAACATAGAAAAATATCAGTTAGGGGATTATAAGTTGATCCAATGCCAAATTCTCCAAACTAACATCACAAGAACTGTATGACAGACAGTAAGGAGAATTACCAATTGGATCTTGGGAGTTAAAAGATTAATGTTCATTTCCAAGGCCAATTCAGTGAGAAAAAGCATTCTTACAAGTACAGTTTTTAATGTTTAATTATAACTGACCTGTTCATTGTGAGAAGAAGGCTTGACAGCCTTGAAATTATTAGTAAAACAACTGTGTTCTGGAAGTAATCTGTTGAGTTCTCTTCTTCTAGGATTTATCTGTAATCGTAAAGACCTGTCTGCCAGTGGGTGTTGTCACAGTGGAGGAGAGAGTACAAAACGTTACGAGTGCAGATATTGTCAGAACAATAACTGTTGCAGCATTTATGAACACTGTGTTTCCTGTTGTTTAAACCCTGACAATGTGAGTAAAGTGATAGCTTTCCTCCTGCCAACAGTTCATTTTTGAATTTAGTAAAGGTTTTGTATCATAAAATATAGTGCTGCTGATGAAGAAGGGCATAAAGTAATAGGGTGATATAACAATTCCACTTTGTAATATAAAAAGGACACAGGTCATATATGAAATTTGATTGGAGAATTCTCTGAAGTTGCTGAAGAATGCTTCAATTCTCAATGATCACCCTGAATTTTTCAAAAAGAAACAGAGAGAAACACCTTAACATACCTTGTGTTTTTCTCATCACTTCTTTATGCTATTGCCCCTACCTACATGCATTGCATCAGAGCAGAGTGCAGTTGAGTCCTCTTTATTTGTCACATGAATGACTCTTGATTACCCTGCAATAGTTACAGTAGCTTTTGAATGATAGACTTAGGAATTGCTTTTGTATTCCAAATTTAACTCTTTACACCCAAGACATGATTGTTAATTCTCCCCTCTAGCTGCTACACATTTCCTTGTAAACATTAAAGTTACTAGAATTTGGTGTTAGATTAAAATAACAACTGATACCTGTTAATTTTGAATATTCTCGTCTCCTGTTTGCTGGAAAATGTGTGGATATTACAGGGAGAAATCACTTGTCAATCAATTCTGACAGTTAAAAGGTGAAATAATTATGGACCGAAACATTTTCTTTGTAATTTAACATTTAGTTGTAATTGTGTATGTCTGACCTTTTTCAGAGGAGATTACTGGAACAAATTTTGATACTTGGATCATCAGTGCCTAATGTGATTTCCAAGTCTGTCGGTGACCAGTTTGAGCTGTGCTTGGTCAAATGCCGCACTTCCTCTAAGGTGCTTGTTAATCAGATTTTATTAAAAGTCATCTTTGAGATTTAAAAGTTCAAAAGTTCAAAATACAAAAGAATCCTTTGTTTTAAAAGTGATTGATATGTACACTGTTTTATACACAAACACCTCAAGGTTAAAATACATGTATAGAAATGGCCTAAAGATCTCAGAATGTTCTTTCAAAAAAATTTTTTTTTTATTTGTCTTTTTGCTTATTATCTAAAACCTTTTGACTCCTAAGAGAAATTAGTATCTCATTTCTCCTTACAATATTATCAGCAAGTCAAATATTAAGGTCATTGGAATGAAGGAAATGATCACCAACAAAGGAAGCTCTTGATTTTTACACAAATTCTGCTTGTGAACACATCATTTTTTTCAGAGATGCTTGTTGAAGGGTTACAAATTTATTACTGATTTTTTAATGTTATTATTTTTCAGAGTGTGTGGCATGAGAACTCATACAAAGATAAGACATTCAAACACTGTTTTGGCCTGACTGGACCAGAATTTGCTGGTGCTTTGTAGATATTTAGTTAACTTGAAATTAGCAAAGTCAGTACAGAAAAATATTCTTGTAAATGAAAAGATATCTATTTTTTTGAAATTGTATTTTATTTGTGCAGAATTTGAAAATGTTATCATCTCATAGGTTTGTCTTTAGGATATTAGGTTCTTAAAAATTTTTCTCAAATTATCTTGCATTTCATATACCTACATAGGTATGCAATATTTTAAGTTTACATATTAGATTCTCATCTAGTCAAGACTTTCATTGCATCTCTGTAATCTTTTTTTTTTATAAAACCTAAGAGACTGACTAGCTTGTAAATATTGATGAAAGATTCTATTCTTTCTATTTATTTCAGAATAGGTACTGAATGATGTAGATATCAATATTGAGGTGTACACCTATAGAGATGTAATACAAAATTGCAACACTTCAGAGCTTTTCATTTTTGTTTAATTTATTTATAATAAATTACAGTATATCAGTTTATGGAATAAATACATTTTTATTTAGTTTATGTAAATTTGAACAAATAACTACAATTATAATCATTGTTGATATCATGATAACCTTTTGCTGCTAATAAGTAGACAGTTTTAAGATCTATCAACTCTTTGGTCTAGAAGTAAGGCAGAAATTAAATCATTAAAAACTGAATCATCAAGCGATGAGTGGTGAAGTTCCCGGCCACTACCATTTAGTGTGGTTAAATTCCTGTCTACAAGAGACACTCCTACCAGGCTCTTCTTGGACTAAGGTATTATTACAATAATCAATACCAGTAACATTTATTGATTTGGAGTGTACATAATCCCAAACAGAGGACTTGATTACTCTGTATAAATTCTGCATGATGGAGAATGGGTGTGTTGTTACAGTTGTAGTTTTAAATAATTTCAGGTTCAAACTGGTTGATAGGGGATGTTAATGAGCCTAATAGACACCTTTTACAATTAGTAGACAACCTTGCTCCCTGTGTTACAGTGTGACCTTGTTTCCAAAAATTTCTAAATTGGGGGCATCTGCAACATATCTTCTCAAAAATTTTGAAAACGGCTCAATGCAAGTCTCCTTGCAAAGTGTTGTAAAGTGCACCAGAGCATTTTGATCATGATCGTCATCATTGATATTTAATCCTTTGACCCCTAAGAGTGATTAGCATCTAATTTCTCCTCACAATATCACCCCTGAATCACACATGAAGGTCATGAGACTATACCAAATGATCAGAAACTAAAGATCTTAAGCTCTTGATTATTAAACAAATTCTCCTTGTCAGCACCTTAGAAAATGTATAGAGAACAGTATGGAGAATTGTGCATACTGATGCTAGGGCATAAAGGGTTAAGGATTGTTGACGATAATTGTAATATTCCCGGAACAAGAAGGAAACAAAATGTAAAATAATGTAGCTTCAAATGTTTTTAACCTGAAATTTATATTTACCTTTAACTCCCAAGATCTGACTGTTAATTCTCGCTACACATTTCCCTGTAAATTAGTAATAAGAATTTGGTGTTAGATCAAGATAATAACTTCTACCTGATATGTTTGAGTATTCTCATTACCCATTTGTTGGATAGTGTATGGATGTATTAGGGAGAAGTTACATATTAACCACCTCTGGCAGTTAAAGGGTTAAGATAGAATGGATATTTTGGAGTGATTATTTTAACACCCAAGACTCATCATTTCAAACAGTGAAACTGAATTCAAAACCTTTGTAATGAGAAAATGAGGGCTGGCGGATGATTAATCCAAAGAGGAAAGTGGGATGGACATCATTGAAAAGTAAATTCTCACTATAGTAACAAGTTTTCACTTGCCAATTTTCTTTTCAGATAAGAGATGCAATCAATGCAAGGCTAGTCACCAAAGTGGAAGCATTTTGCAAAAATTCTCAAACTGAGAGGATTCAGTCTTTGTTGCATCTGCTGGGAAGACAGTTTGTAGAGACATACCTTGGCAGTTTAGCTCTTTATAACCAGGTGAATCCTTTAGATCAAATGAAAGTTAAGAACAATAACACAGGCAGTTGTATATTTAAGAAGTGGTTCTTTGTCCATTGATTTTAGGGAGAAAGATGAAAAGGATTCCTTGAATGAGAGAATTTGACTCTTTCAAATCATTTCTTTTGCAGACAGTTTTTTGCATTCTAAATATAAACTGAAAGATATTTAAACTAAATAGGCCACCCAAGACAAGTGGGATCTCTCAGATTCTAACAAAGAGGAAGCAGAAGCATGGCTGAAAACAGCACTTCATGAGATCACAGGAAGTCTTGGGTTACAATGGAGAGAGAGCAGAGATGCTGTGTCTAGGGATATGTTGGAGTTTGTTGGGTTTGCTCAGCAAACAGTGCAAAGAGGAATGGAGAGAGAATTGGCAGCAACAGAACAGAAGGTTGTTCATGATCAAGAAAAGGTGAGAGTTTTTTCAAATTTAGGATAATTTATAGGGTCAATTGCAATTTGCAGCTCCTTTCCAGGTACCTGGTAACACTGATTAGATCAGTGGAGGAGAGAAAAAGAGGGTGCTTGGAGTGACCCAGAGTACCTCTTAAACTTTTAAAATTATTTTTTGCTTTAATTTCTGCCGTTCTCAAGCTGTATGGTTTATTATCTATACACTGTGCAGCATACACAAGGAGATTGCAGGGATTTCAAAACAAGCCAATGACTGGTGTTGTTCCACTGGCTACTTGATAACATGTCACTGGTTACTCTGGTCAGAATAATTACCTCTTGGCCCTTCATGAAATTTTCATGGTCACTTACTTTTGCTGAGTCTGACACCTACTTCAAAGCATTTTGAAATCCCTGGAGTGATTTTAGTAATTCTTTTATTTGGTACTGTTTAAAACCAACTGAAAGTACATAACTGTACACTGTATTTTAAGAGTCAATGTACTTGATTTTACTGTATGTACAACTTAATTGATTGAAGAAGAATAACGTACAGCTTGTTTTTCTTCACAGAGTTTATCAAACAGTCAAAAGCCAAGTCTCCTTGGATGCAGCCACCAAAGTGAAACTCTTGGCAAAGCTGTGGCTGCCCTCCTCAAAAGACACCCCTCTCAGCTAGGCCGCATCTGTGAACAACTCCAAGGACGACCGTTGACTAATTCCCTGAGACACCTGATTTGGTCTATGAACCTACAGAGGAATAATCTAGACAGTGTAAACTCCCACGAGGACTTAGAAACTGAAATGGAAGAAATCAGATCTCAGTTTGAAGTGACTCTTTCTTGGGGTTTAAAAGAACTGGGTGTGTCAAGCGCAGTTCACTCCCCCATAGCAGGGGTGGTAGAAAATGCTGTCTCTGAGGCATACAAATACAGACATGGTTTTCACAGTGAATTGGTCACTGAGATGCAAATAAGGCTAGTGGTGGAAGCCTTGAATGTGCTGTATGTCTACAATAGGAGTTATGAACCTCAGTATGCCTTGCTTGTGTATCCACTGATTGTTAGTGCTCTGAATGAATACAAAGATGCAGGTGTGATGAATGGTTTGTTGTATAGTTAAACTTGTTTTTCTGAATCAAAGTAAAATACAATTTAATAATGTTATCCACCATAGCCTAAGCAATTTCATCAAGTCAGTGGTTATCATCTCAAAGTAGGCTCACATGGAATGTTAGAACTTTGTTACAGCAGACTTCTTTGGTTTAAGAGGCTAAATAGAATTGAGCACATGTACATGTACATGTGGGTTAGAGTCAAATAAGACCAGCAGCTACTTTTTGACAACCATGTCTGGTTGGTTCCCAGGTTTGCAGGGTTTTAGCAGGGCATCCGCATTGTGGATTCAAGTATTACTGTCATCAGTATTCAGTCATTTTGTACCAAGGGTTGATTTTCTTATTTCAATGGCATTTTTAATGGCATATTTTAACCTTTTTTTCAGGAAATTCATCTCAAGATGTGGCTCACAAGCTTGCAATATCCCTGCACCTTTTGCTCAAAAATTGTTTCCCAACAAGGCTGAAAATCTTCAGCATGGCTGATCATGTCATGCAAAGACTGCAACGTGAAGATGAGGAGCTGTACAATCACCTAACTAGTGAAACACTAAAGAATCTGTCTTCTAACCCAAGAGAATTCCTGGTGAATTTTATTCACACAGAGAAAGAGAAGGCCATGTTGGCCGAAAGACAGGCAGTGGGAAGTTCATTTGAATCATTGCCATCTGATGCTAAGGAGCTGCTGTCCCACCCTGTTATGTTTATAAGAAAATGGATAGCAGAGGTATGTAAGGAATGTCTCGTCTTAACCCTTTACACCTGGACATTAGTGTACATGTTCTCCATACTGTTTTATATACATTACCTAAGTTGCTGATAAGGAGAATTGCTTTAACAATCAAGAGCTTCTTTAGTTGGTGATCATTTTTTTTATTCTCATGACCTTAATGTTTGATTCAGGGGTGATACTGTCAGGACAAATTAAATGCTCGTCGCTCTTAGGGATCAAAGGGTTATAATATTGATGTACAAGGTTCAAAATGAACAGCATTATAGCACATTGATGCAATATGCATCAAAGATTTTGAAACTTGCTGAAAATTTTTTGAATTTGAATTTTGCGCAGTGTTTATGGTTTTTGAAGCAGGAGAGTATTGTGACATAGGCATAGTTCTCTCCCTATGTAAATTAAAAATAGCTCAAGCCATCAAAAGGTAGCTGGAGAATACTGTTTAGTAGACATATATTTCTCTGATCTCTGCCGCCTTGAGAACACCTTTTTGATCATTTCTGTAGGGCTTTGTGGGCATTCTAGGAGTCCATGCTGTCATGCTTGTGTGGGATCAGTGCTTCCTGAGTAACTGGAAGCATAATGTGATGGAGAACACATGTCTTGTCATTCTCCAGCTCTTGAGAGTACACATTTTAGAAGCTGAGGGCTACATTGGCATCAGAAAGAGTTTGTTGGATCAACCATCTGAGTTGTTTACTGTAGATGTTCAGAAAGGACTGTCATACCTGCACAATGGAGGAGCATTAATTGATGTTGGATCACTCAGACAGTGCGTATGGCTGAGTCATAGCTTTTCCTTTAAGAGTTTAGTTGCTAAGGGACTCGATTACCTGAGTTATAATCAGTGCTTTCACCTAGTGTGCTAGTCAAAGATATCTAGTTGGTGGAGCTTTTTCAACTTTGATTCGAAAATTCCAAATTAAGTAAAGAAAACCAGGCTCCAAGCTAAGTTTTCAACTTTTTCATTATCCCTATATAATACGAAATGGATAATTGGAATTTAGCAATGGACATTCCAAAAGGTGGCTCTTTTTGTCCGCTGTTTCCAGGTTGAATTGGAATTTGAAGTGTTGGTTTTAGGGGAGGGTAGAAAACCAGAGGACCTGGAGAAAAACCTTTAGTGCAAGGATTAGAGCCAACAACAAACTTAGCCCATGTGTGACACCAGGTCCAGGAATCAAACCAGAGGTACAGTGGTGGAAGGCAAGCACTCTCACCACTGTGCCATCCTTATATGTGGTATTATATCCCTGAATGAAGATAAGTGATAGACTGGGAACAAATTAACCATTCCTCAAACCTTATTTACTTATTTTTGTGAACAGTGTCGAGGGCTTAAAGCTAATTTGGAAAGACATTTATTTAATTAAATCAACCCTTGTATAGAGAACCCCTGAGGCCCACTACTTGCATGAAATGGTGGTTTGGGTTAGACCTCATATAAGTAACTGGCCCTGTATGTTTTTAAAAATGTCTCCCTGTGATGTTCCTGTATTATACATGTAGGCCCACACCCGTCCCATCACCCTCAGAGCATGGTGAAACTGTACCTAGCCCAATACCATCTGCATCTGAATCTAGTCAGTCATCACTAACCAGACCAATCAGTAGACGTTCTACACCCAGGACACCTTTCCAGGCTGATCCTGTGGAATTATGGGTTGAGGCCAAAGCGACATCATCACCCATGGAAGAGACTACTAACTATGATTCATTTGATGTGTATATTGATGAAGTGAGGTTTTTACCTGACAATGCTACTATCATAAAGGTGATTGATCTGAGAGAACTCCACCATTACAATAATCTGTTTGATACAGCTTAGAGTACCAATACTTGGGAGGTAGTAAGTTAAATTGATTTCTCATAGTATGTTTAAAACTTTTTCTGGTGACAAATTGCATGAAGTCATTGTGTGAAAATTCATGAATTTGCTTGTTAAAATTTACAGAAGTGAATCTGCAGACCTGGTCAAAAGCTTTTGGGACACTTGTACTTTTATGTCCAAGGGAAATATGCGACTTATCCATTGTAAAAATTATCCAAGTGAGTGTATATCAAGCTCTGCCCTGCTTCACTCCACCTCCAGTATTGTTGAAAACAACTGCAGCTTTTCTGAATTTTTTTAGGATTCCTACCAACATTGCAGTAGAAGAAAGTGGGGGCGGGGGCACCATTGGCAACTAGTTTTTCAAATGTTCATCATGAACTGTTTTGCTGTTAATGTCCCAAGTTAGGGTTTGTGGGGATTGTTGCCCAAAGAAATGGTTTTTTTGCAGTTTTGATCTTTTACTTTTTGCTGATGTAGGTTACTGGTAGTATTTTGGGACCTTTTTGGAAGACACCTGAGACTTTGGAGATCTCACCCGTTGAGGCATTTCCAATGCTAGATTCATCAGCAAGATGTCCTAAATTTCATTATAAGTACACTGTAAATGCCCCTGCAAGTGGCATTCCAGAAGAAGTTATGTTGCTGCTGAGAATCTACACACTAGATATTAACAGTGGAGATTTGATTGTCATTGGAAACAGCATAATCAGGATTTTCACTGAAAAAGACAATGAGGTACTAACAAAAGGAATCAAGACATAAATAGACAAGGGTTGCAGATTGAGAAGAAATACAAAGAAAAAACTCTTATATGCTCCAACTTTAATCTCAGTATTTAAGAACAAGGGAATTTCCATAGAGGTGGATGGGGGGGGAGGTTTTGGCACAAATGACTTTTTTAGGGGGGTATACAGATATTTTCTCGAACAACTCACCTGTGTTCTCAGGTTACCAGAAGCAGGATGTTCTTTTTCTCTTACCCCTTCCCCCCTCCCCCTCCCCCTTATTACACACAACAAGGATGTATGAGGTTATTCCACATGTGCTCTTTTTAATTTTAAAGAGAAACATTTTTTTTTTCAGTGGCATCTTAATGTCGGAGGACATCAGCTCCCCTTGAAACATATTCTTCCATCCACTGTGGCCAGACTTACAGAAGAGTCTTTTGATGGCATAACAAAGGTTCCTGTCTGTTCAGTTCTCATCAGGCTCTTGCCTCATTCAGAGGTTTGTTATGTACATATATATAAACATGTTTACCATGTTGTCAACATTTTTTCTGTTGAAAAGTTCTGATCACCGCCATCAAAAAGACCATGAGCTATAACATGATATTTACACAAAGAAAACCATTTACCAGAGCTACATGATGTATATTAATTGGCATCATGTAAAAATGTTTCATTGTATTCTATATTTCAGGTGTTCATTGAGGCCCCTGGTTATGCAAGTGGATTCTATGTCAGTGATCATTGTAAACCCAACGAATCAGAGAGGTGTATATTCAGAAGGTTCCAAGGCTATCATGCTTATCCTCCAACAGTAAGGGAGGCTGTGCGTGACATCAAAGAAGAGGAAGCAAATCAAGATACAGAAGGTTTATCTATGTGTGTTATAAATGTGACATTTTTCTTCCTGAGCAAATGAGATCTAATGTATTTAGATCTTTAACATGAATGGACAGGGTTTGTGTTTGTGTTATGTAGTGGGAGAAGAACTGTGTTAAGTAATAAACTGTAAATTATGCCAAGCTGATTTTTTTTTGACGAATTTCACTAAAAAGCATCAAATCCATGAACATTCACTCATCTACATGTTTGACAAAATTTTGTCAAATCTGCCATTTACGTTACTGTGGGAAAATGTTTACCACACCTGAATCAAAAATCACTAAGGTCTTTGAAATGTTTGATTCCGGCTGTGTGGTATCCAGTGAATTGTTCAATCACTAACGCCTGTTGAACACCCTAAATAAGGTTTTTGAAATCATCTCTTTTTTCAGAGTTTGACCTCGCAAATGATCAAGTTGTCACTCAGTGGTATCAACGAAGGACAAGCAAACACATTTTGATGAGGGAGCCACCCAAGGCAATGGACCTGATCAAAGTTGTGCAATATGACCAGAAACAGGTAAGTTGGTTCAGTTTGCAGATGGATAAAGAGGGTAATTTTATGAAGAGACTGTGGTGCTGCAGTGGTGGGAGAGTATAACAGGGTTATTAAGTATTATCAACTGAGTTGATGACGTAAATTGGCCATTGTAAAGAGTTTTAAGGCTAATGTTCCAAGTGTTAGCCCTTTGTTAGAGTGATTGGAGGAAATGTGGGTTGTGTGTGTGTTTATATGCCGACCATGTAGTTACGCCATTGGTGGGAATGTAGATGATTCTCAAAATCTGAGAATTATAGTGATCATGTCTATTTAACAAATAGATTCCAAGTTGCTGTGTGTCTGTTCAGTAATAGATCACAGATGATGTCAAAATGTGGTAAGAACAAAAAAGTGGCACACAAGGCACAGCTGAGTGTGTCACTGATGTTCTTACCACATTTTGACGTCCTCTGTTATTTATTACTGAACAGACACACAGCAACTTGGAATCTATTTGTTTTATATAATAAAGAATTAAAAAAAGTTTTAATGATGACATCATCTATACGTCTGTCCTCCAATAGATCATCAGTGAGAACCAATCAGAATGTGTGCATAACTGAGCTTATTATATAAAGTGCTATAGACATAATCAGACAGTCACATTTGTAGGTTGCTAGAACTCTCTAAACAATTTGTGGCTTTTTTTAATTTTCAGGGTCTATCCATAATGGTTGAACAGGCATTTGGCCTTCCAAACACGCACTTTGTAAATGCCTTGCTACATGTGTCTCCTGGACATGATGTGCAAGATAAACAAGCAACAGAGGAAGGCCTTGGTGGAGAAGAGAAGGCATTGGTAAAACAACGGGACTTCAACAGCTTCCAGAAATCACCCAAATGGATAGACCCATTTATGGTAAGTATTGATTGGATCCTTGTGGCCTTTTATACTGGCAGTGATGACCTCTCAATACAGTTATATACAGTTATTAGTCTGCAAGAATATACTGTCCAACATTCTTTTGCAAGACCCTGTGTTGTGAGATCCAATCCCTTAATCCTTTCACATAATTATTCAGATTAATAAACATTGCATCTTGTTTCTATACCCTCTGTTAACTACATGTTGTGAGGAGAGAAAGACAACTAATAGAAAGACAACTACTAGTTGAGTGGTTTTCATAGCTGCGAGGATCACTTATATCTCATTTCTTCACCGCAGTGCACATATATAATTTTCATATGTTTCCAGTAATTATTTACCACTTGGAAGGTTTATTTGGATCCAACATTATGACCAGCTCCCAGTTGGCTTGTTAGCTCAGTTGGTAGAGCACTGCACTGGTATCACAGAGGTCATGGGTTCAAATCCTGTACAGGCCTGAATTTTTTTCAGGTCTCATTTCAGCTACTAGTTCAGTAGTGTTCATAGCTGTGAGGATCACTAATATCTCAGAACTGTTTCAGTTACTAACTGAACAACTTAACTTTCCCTTCAAGAGTAATCCCATAAGAGTGATTGAGTCGCTCGGCTCAAGTTGAGACTTTTTTCACTCACTGGTAAATCTGTCCTCTAAGCCTCATTTTTAATGAACACGAGTTAATATATGTAGTCATATAAAAGATTACTGTAGGAGAATTGTTATTTACAGTTTAGTAATTTATGGTCAATTGATAGCACGTGATCTATTTTTCTCGTCTTCCACAGGTGTTTCACCCTCACTGGGATGAAATGACAGTTTTGATAGTAAGGCTGTACTCACTTGATGCGTCATACACCCCTCGTGGTGATGGAGCTGGACCAGGCTCTGTTGCTGATCGAAAAGGAAAGACTTTGACTCTGGTCCCAGCTGGATGGACTGTACTTCAGCTCTTTTCAAAGTACGGCTAGTGGATATAGGCCCAAGATGCATACATGTATGGGGTTTCAAAACAAGCTCACAACTGCCAGCAACTGCCAGGAACTGCCAGAGTTCTACAGGCTACTTGATAACATGTTGCCAGTTACTTTGGTCAAAACTTATTACTTTTTGGTCGTTAACAAACTTTTCAAAAACACCAACTTTTGCAGAGTCTGACGCCTACTTCAAAACATTTTGAAACCCCTGCATGTACATGTGCAGTTGATATGTAAACATACAACTGTACTGTTGTTATGTTATGTGTTAACAATTTGAAAAATTATGGATTTGTAATGATTGGTTCAGTTTTTTACTATTTAGATTCCAGATACATATTACCTTAGGAAAAACTAAGAAATTTAATGTATATAGCCTAATTATCATCACTGTTCACATGAAATTAACCCTTGCACTCACAATTTCACCCAACGAAATCATGTCATTGTGTTGAGGAAATGTGATTGAAAAAATTGAATTCATCCATGAGGCAATGTTATTTGACTCAACACCAAATTGTCAGGGCTAAGATGATAATTAGAATGAATGGCCATCCTTGTGAAAAACTGATATTGAGGTCCTGAGTGTGAAGGCATAAATTAAACTGTACTTGAGGATACTATTACTGACACTTTTTTCCAAGAATTGATTGAATTGTTTGTCTTCAATTCACAGCGAGTATGTGAATGCTGGAGTGCACTATTTACCCCTCTTTGAAGGGACTCCAAGTGCAGTAAGTCATCTCCTATATCTTCAATTGCTTAAAGGATTAGAGACAGTTGCTATAGATTGCAATCCAGCACTTAAAAGTTTATAATTTTGGCATTGTCCTGGAAGTGATTTGAATACAGTATGTGTTACTATTGGAATTAAGGGTCACTATCTGTCTTTCCAACAACATGTATGTACTTGATCAGTGTTAAGAATAACATGACAACTTGGAAAGTAATTGTTGATGTCATGGTACCTTTTTTCTCTCAGACTTTTCTAGAATTTGTATCCAATCATTCAGTGGAGACGAGTTTGCAGGAAGCAATCAAGCAAAATATACACAATTTGTTGGTAGGACACAAAATTTTCTTTTTGTCTCAGCCAACATTGTTAAGTCTAAATTAATAATAATAATAATAATAATAAAATTAATAATAGTACCGGTATATACATTTAATTGGAGAGAGGTGTGAATGATATAAAGGGGAGATATTTGATATATTACCAATTTATTAACATTTTGAAGAAGATTAAAACAGTGCTGTTTGTTTAGTAGAAGTACTTGATGAAATATTGTAACTTAGTCAATGCTTGTGATTTGTGTCAGTGGTGCTATCTAGTTTTCATGGCAACAAGAGATAAGTGACTTAGTTTTAGTGGTCGCTGGATAGGGACGTGACAGTGCAAGCTACAGTGCAAGTCACCAGACAAAAACAGGGATGCTTAATTGGATAATGAGTTTTTTATGCAGACTTCGACTAGATGGTATTTAATATTGAAAATCCTAATAAAGAGACCTTTATCTCAGCAAGGCACCTCTTGTGTTGATGATAATAACTTTGACTATGATGATATTTAAGATTGAAAACCCTAATAAAGATACCTTTACCTCAATAGGGTATCTCCTGCGTGGCTGTTCGACTTTGGGATGCACATTACTCCCCAGATGAATGCATTCCTTTACCAGTAAGCAATAACCATAAATCACATGACATGTACACAAACAAGAAAATTTTATTTTATCAACTGAGTTGATAATGTAAATTGGCCACTATGAAGAGTTTTTTAAATTGACGTTTTGAGTGTTAGCCCTTTTTCAGAGCTCTGATAAAGGGCAAACTCTTGAAATGTCAGCTTACAAACTCTCTACATTGGTCAATTTATATTATCAACACAATTGATTAAACCAAATTATCTTGTTTACTCCCCCATCAAGGCAGTACTGCAATTTCTTTTGAAACTTGCCCCCTTTATTCATTAGTACACAAACAGTCTGCCTCTGAAGCCTTTTTTAATGCAATATACAAAACTTGAATATTTCAGTTACATTTGTTTGCACAAAGTGTATTACTGACTCATATTGTATTTAGCATCAGTTATGAAACTATTTTTTAATCTAAACTTTAATTGTTGCCCCTTTTCTCTTCCACTTTTTCTTTACTGAGGTGTAACAGTTCTCTACAAGTCTGTAACATCCCCTCTGTTTGTGAAAATGAATTTACTAGCAGCACTAAGCAACCCTTTTGCAAACTTTGATGCATTGTACAAGATTTGACGTTACAGTTCTTTTGGTATACTTATGACCTGCAGGTTAAGGAAGAACTTTTATCTCTTGGAAGACAAGACAGATACTGGAGAACAATCCAGACAACTTCAGGGAAGTTAATCTCTGATATGGTATTACAGACTCTCACCCGGCAGGAACGGAAACAAGGTGTGGCAGGGAGTCGGTACATTGCTGAGAAAGAAAACTATGAAGAGGCTATGAACAGTGCATTCAATAACCTTTTGGTAAGGAAGCCTGACTGTGTTCATGAGGTCATTTCTACATTCATTTGGTATCTACTTATGGAGGCTACATGTGAGGATCTGGCAATGTGTAGGGATTTAAATGGGGTGTTAACAATAAAATCCTAGACCTGTGAGGTGTAGAGGACCTTGTTTCTGAGGCTGAGACTTTTAAGTAAAGAATTTCCCATTTTTATCCTTGTTTTACTCAATTGCAATTATTTGAAAACCACATTTAGGTACTCTTTTCTGTACTCCATTTATCAATATATCAGTTTTTAAATTGAAATATTTCAAACAACAACAATCATACCCAGAATGCTTACTCTAAGGTACTCTTGGAGTACCCTGGAGCTATCTTCTGACAGAGACCAGGGACCAAAAGTAAAAATCAGAGACTTTGAAAACCTCTAACCCTTTAACTCACTGAAGTGATCAACATGAAACTTCTCCCTATAATACCATACATTATTCAGCAAAAAGGTAATGAGAATATTCAAACTTATCATGTAGAAGCTGCTATCTTGATCTAGCACCAAATTCTCATAACTAATTTACAAGGAAATGTTAAGCAGCTGAAGGGGAGAATTAACAATCAGATCTTGGGAGTTAAAGGGTTAAAGAAATACCAGACTTCAAGACCAGAAAAAGTCCCTACAGAACTTGACAGTACCATCCACCTTCCTTTTTCCATTAATGGTTTAGGCTCTTGAGTAGATTACGTGAAATGCTCTTTTGGCTGATACCAAGTATTAAGGGAGGCTTGGTCAATGCATGCCAATATTTAACATTTAAACTCTAAGAGGGATTAACATGCAGATTCTCCCCATAATATCCATACATTATCCAGCAAATAGGTTATGAAATACTCAAACTTATCAGGTAGATTTAGTTATCTTGATCTAACACCACATTCTCTTTACTAATTTACAAGGAAATGTGTTGCAGCTTTACTGGGAGTAGTTAATTAGTTTTAATCAAGTTTTATTCCAGTTTTAATTCCAGAACATTCTGTAATATTTTTGTTAAATTATAGGTTGATGTTCTTCTGCAGAGTGGCCTGGGGCCATTGACATGATGGTGAAAGAGGGTCTGAGTTTTTCAGTGATGATAATTAAAGTTGGTTTGACATAATGGAGAGAATGTAGTCCATCTTGCAGTTCTAGATTTTTTCTTCATTATTTATTTTTTGAACTCTGTTCAAAGCACTGGTATACTAAATGAGAATTGTTTTTGTACATAAGACTACCTGAAGATAGATAAGCAAAAAATTGTACAAACTTGGTGATAACTTTTATTTTTTTAATTTAATACTAAGCAATAAAATTGCTAGTGAATCCAGAGTCATTGAGTGAGTTTCTTCAATTGTCAAGCTCTCAGAAGCTTTTTTTTTCACTCTGGCAAAGATCCCCTGAACTCTGCTCTACAAAAATGCAGTGTGTCTTAATTTCTTCTTCCCAATCAACTTCAGTTTTCATGAAGTGTTCTTTCATACAAAGGAGAAGAAATTTGTCTCTTGATGAGACTGATTTAAATGTTGAGCTCAAAGTCGTTTATTTGAAGTCCATTAGGTAAAGTTTGTGACTTTGGAATTGTGTTGTATCTTTTTGTCTATGTGTTGTATTACAGGTGATCTTTTAAAATTCATTTGTCCCCAAGACCAAGGTTCGCTTGGAAAAATGCACCATCACCTTGAGTCGCAGTCTGAAATGACACAACAAAAACAAGAGCAGATTTTAATGTGGAGCATATCTTGGTTATTTATTAGCTAACAATTTCCTGTTTACCCTGAGCCCATAAGATTTTCAAAGACAATTTACCTTGTTTATTGCTTTATGTCTCTCTCTACTGACAATCTCTTCTAAAACCTCACCAGTCCCTTTGATTAGCCTGTGCAAAAGGAAAAAAAAACTTTTTTGCAGTGTTTTATCATGCAATAAAAGTTACCATTTATGAGATAATTACCTTTGTCACACATGCAGCAAAACAATTCTAAACAAAATTGGCATATCTTGATTTAAAGACAGCGCTCCAGAGGCAAATGGTGTCATTTGATTAGGAGAAATTTCCCTGTGAATGATTCATATAGAACTGTAGTTATAGATGAGCAAAGTCTCTCATATGTCTTCTCTGTCTGTCTGTCTGTCATTCTGTCTGCCTTTCAGTCTGTCAGTCTATCTGTCATTCTGTCTGCCTTTCAGTCTGTCAGTCTATCTGTCAGTCAGTCTGGCTGTCTGTCTGCCTTTCTGTCTGTCAGTCTGTCTGTCTGGCTGCCAATCTGCCTCAACATAAATTTGTTTTCATCAACACGGCAAGTAACAGATGTGTAAACCTATTACAGTAGATTCCATTTTGGGAAGTCAGCTGTTTTGCAGTCTTTACATTAAACACTAAACTAATATTTTGAAATTATTTGTAGAACATCTTTACCTGTGACGACCTGTTTCTGGGTCATAAACCCTCCTAACTTGGGCCTGTTGTTTTTCATACTCCTCTTTTGTCATAGGGACCATGGATCTTTCAGAAAAATCAAATAGAAGATACAATGAGTTTTTATTGCCAAAAAAAAAATCCTTACTCCTTACATAATAAATTAATTGTGAATGTAAAGCTCTCTAAATCTTACAGACTACCAAGTTTAAAAAAAATGGCACCAATTTATGACCACAAATGTCTACAACAGTAACAACAGTGAACTTAAAATTCAGTTAGTATATGCCCCAATGGATTTTGTTAGTTTGTGCAGTTTGCAATCAGGGTTATCTAGGAAGTTTTTTTTAGCAAAAGAAAAGAAGACATTATTGCTGCTAAGGTACATTTGGAAATAAAAATCACCTGAACACTTGTTCTGTAAATTCCTTAGTTCTCATCTAAATTTAAGAAGCCCCTCCTTTCCTCACAAATAATGCTCAACTACTGAGTTAGTGAGAGAAAACTATAAATATTTTTCTGGGTATGGGAAGGTGAGGGCCAAAACCACTACAATCAGGTGGATTAAAAAAAAATGACCCTATCAACACTTTTTCCAGTGATTGCAATAGCCACCAACCTCTTCTTTGGTGCTGCCACTGCTCTAGGGTTATTTGGTGGTGGACTTGAGGATTTTTCACCTGCTTTGTGTCAACAGAAATCAGAAAAAAAACATCAACAAACAAATTGGTTGTATGCTTAATAACTTCTGATTAGTTTAAATTTGAATCATGAAAAACAATTTTTGCCCGTATAAGCTTGAATTTTTTTTTATAACTGTCTCTTGGTATTCAAGAACTCGTCACTTGAATTTGTATTTTCACGTTTATGTTGGGTCCAAATATTTCACTTCATGTCCACAATACCTCGTGTTCCATCGGTGTTTGCCAGGGTTGTATCTTTTTCGACTCTTCTGACATCAGCCTTTTCCTTCTCTGATTCCTTTCTTCTTTTTCTCCTCTTCTCTTTCTTTTCACGTTTCTTTTTTCTTTTCTCCTTCTTTCTTCTTTGTTTGTTCTTTCGATCTGTATCTTTCCCTTTCTTTCTCTTCCTTTTGTGATCACTGCTATCAGAGATGTCACTTTCACTTGTCGATCCACTGTCACTCTTATTCGGTTGTTCATGTTTTGATTTCTTTTTCTCTCTTTTTTTCTCATTTAGCTGTGTTTTTGAACTTTTTCTGGCAATTTTTCGAGACTTTGGTTCACCTTCTGAACTCGTGCTATCAGACTCGCTGTCATGTCTTCGTTTTCTATTTTTCTTCTCGTTCATGTCCCTCTTTACATTGGGAATTTTACAATCACCTCTTAAGAATTTAATATATCGATTATTGTAGAAAAAAGGAAATCGGTCGAAAATTTCCAGCAAAATTATCAGAAACAGGTTCTCTGAAGACAAGGCTACAAAGGAACGCCATCTTGCTGTTCACGTAAGGAGAGGGGCTGAGGGCTAGTACTTAGTCTTTCACGTATCTGCTTCTATTGAAGGATGATGCTGGATGGGGAAGAAGTACGAAGAAAATTGTAAAAAAACGAATTAAAAAACGAGTTAAACTTTTACTGATCTGAGGGATATCCGAGGTCATAGCAGATCATCGGAAAATAGAAGGCTCAAAATTCAAACCTATCTCAAAGATGACCGTGAAACTGATAGCTTTAGTATCAAATATGCTTTCAAGAGGTTTTCAAATGTAGACAAGAGTTGAAACAGAAAATGAGAATGAACCTAACAATGTAAATAATTTAAGATTTCTTTATTATTTGAGAATAGGAAATTTTTCTTTTAAAATACTACTTGGTCCTATCTCGTTATATTTTCGAGTTTGTATGTACATGGTTGAAGGGTTGCCCTTCGATTCGTTTTCGAATGATCAGTAAACTTGGTGTAGAAATTTCTGCACTTATCAGTGTCTAGTTTCCATTCAGTTGGTCACGATTATAAAGCAGAAGTTGATAAACGTAGCCCGGCATATTGTTACGAAACATAACAACTTAAATTCACCTCCCAAGCATTACTGATACTGTAGGTGTAGTTGTTAGTTCTTTGAAATTGATTCACTGTACATTTTTCAGAGACCATTTTGCGCAATTTGGGAGGCGTAGACGTGTGTCTTGTCCTCACAATATTTTTCAATTAATTTGCAGAAGTATACTTTTTTTTCAGTGCTTGTCGATGTCAGTCCATCTCACACAAACATCTTTTATAGCTGGTCTAGTCTACATTGGCATTGGAAAGTGATGACCAGCGGTGTTTCCCATCGACTTCCTTTGCATCAAGTAACTCCTTACCCAAGGCAATACGTTTCACATGTTTAAAGCCAACTTTTTCCATACCAGTCCCTTACGGTTCTCGTCGATCAAATTGTCCGCTCTTCTTCATTTTCCGTCATCGGCGTCACCTGTACCTGTTGTACAGTCACTTGGCGCCCTTTTCGTTTCGGACAAGGAAAACCGTATTGCCTTACGTAAAGAAAAAAATCCACAATGAACAGGATCGACGATATGAAACCAAACATCTGAAAAGAGAAAATGGCCATTAGCTCACACCTGATAGAAATTTCGAGCTCATTTTCATTTTGTGGCTTTTAGTGCGGTAGAAAATGATATTTGTTCCACAAGAGAGCTTTTTGGTGCGAGATATTTGCTGTTATGATTAAAAGAAAGACAGCTCAATATTGTAACGTACCGTGGCGATGTTAATCTTGCTGCATGTGACACATTTTGGCTGGAGTGGCGTTTCATGAAATGAGTCGCCCAATTTGACAGCCTCGTTTGCAAGAAAGCTAGACAACACCAACAACAGGACAGCGGTTACTGATGTAAACATGACAATCTGTGTATGAGAAAAAGAGAAGTATGAGTTTCTGGTGACGTTTGTAAAGCATGGAGGCAATAAACCCCTACTTACAAAGGCATTCCAGAATTTCAAATTTTTCTTCTGAAAATCGAAGACTTTTACGAGGAAGATGATCAGTGTCACAAAATACGCCACTCCTGAAGTCGTCAAAAACAAAGTGTCAGCAACTGTTTTCATGGAAACTAACGTGACGTAATGCTGCAATGCGCCAAAGCTAGTTGCCAGGCCGACCTGTCAAAGGAATAGTCAAAACATGAATAGGAAATTTTTAAATCAAAACAATAATGTTCTTACAAAGAGCAAAGTTGAATGCAATGTGTGATGGGCTTTTGCCTATGATTTATCAGATTTAAGACGCACTGGTGACGTTAAACAAAGATACAACCTCGTCCCAGGGGTCCTTTCCTATTCTTCTCTTTCTTATGGAGGGAAGAAGAGAAGAACCCTGGGAACGAGGATGACAAAGTTATGTCATCCTTTGAATCCAACATGGCCTCCAGTTGTGAAAACGTGTGCAAAATTTTCCAAATTTGGGAAGTAAAAGTTTAGACATAGAAATGGCCAACAGCTATTTACGAGCAAGAAGAAAATACTAGGTACAGTGCTCTGAATTTTACCCGGATTGATCAGTAGGTTCTTCCACAGGAAATGAAATTTAAACTGGAGTTAGGCTACGCTTAGTAAATGCGCTGAAAAAAATTTCATACGTACCATTTCTGCTATATGTATAATCCCTGAGTATGATCTTAAAAATTCCTTGTTGATGCTTTGCCTGAAAATCCAGTTGCGCTTTTGCAGTGAGAGAGATGGCGATTTCCCTTCCATACCTTTTGACAATGATGAGACAGTTATCGACTATTCTCCTCAAAAATTAAACCTAACTGAGTTTCCCTGAAATATTTAAAGGATAAACGGGAGAGACTTCCGTGTTATTTCACATATTTTAAACTCTTTTTAGGGCCGTTTTTCTTAATGACTTTCCCATTCAATTTTTGATGATGAGTCAGAAATAATAATTACTTCGTGATATAAATTCTGTTATTGGTCAGTGACGAATAAAGACGCTCTAAAGTGCATCGCATGATCTTCTTTAATCACTCTCTTGAATTTAAGGTTTTTTAATTACAAAAAAATACGTTAAATTTAAAAGTATTTCGGAAACTAATCCCTCTAGGTTTGTCTATCAAAATGATTGTGGTAAGTGACGAATTCAAAGAAAATACGAGCATGTTCCCAACCATTAACACTTTTTCGGAGTAAGGTAAAAAGAGTACCTAAAAAGTAGCGTTGATAAATGATTTTGCTGAATATATGATGAGCAGAAATTCGTGACCTTAGGGTACGAGTAAAAATTTAAAGTGTTTTTGTGATCGTAAATGCCGTGAGTGGGTGTATTTAGAATATTTTGTGTATCGAGAAATAATCACTGGAAGGTCCAGAGACTCCGGATAAACGTTCAGTTTTTCCCGAGGCGCGACAAGGTACATGTTGATCGAAAGATATACCAATGTTGTAAAATTTAATTGGTTACCATATGCGGCTACATTCTGTTATATTTTGACTTGTTTTGTAAAAGTGAAGCTAATGACGCACTTGGAGTTGAAAATGGGCAAAGGAAGTTTCTTAGGGACCACTTATTATTTACCCCGTGGGGTGGGGGGTGGGGGGTCGGGGGATTTTTTGAATTGGGAGAATCACATGCCTTTCAGGGGGGACGAAGGGGGATTAGTCTTCTTTAACAGAGTATGAAGGGGATACTATGGAAAATTGAATGCCAATGAGGGAGGATTGTTAGAATTCTTCAGAGCTGTAGGGGGATCAAGTAAATTTCATTGTGACATAACAAAAATCCTCCACCGCTCCCCTCCCCCCTTCCCAGCCGACATATATATATATATATATATATAATGATCAGTCTTGTTGGCGTCAAATGCTGAGATGAACGTTTTCGTGGAAAATTAATGAAAAGATTATACAAAGTGTTTCAGGAAAATACCACACGTACCTTCGATCCTTTTTCTCTTTTAAAAACGTCATGTCCAACGTAGAATATCTTTCATTGTCCTGTTTGCTTGGGGGTTGCCTATTCTTTGAGTAAGTCAAATCAGAGTGAATTAAGAGGGTACCTCAGTTTCTACTCGTAATATTACGTAATATTGACTCGTGTGTAGCGCTATTCTCGCGCGAGGGTCTCGCGACTGTGGCAGCTGTGGTCACTTCGTACCGATGCAATGAATTCACGGTAGGACTAATTAAATTATTTATGGCTTTACAGGCTGAATCCGAATTGAAAGCTATTTGGGTTATTGCTTCAGTTTCAGAATCGCAAAAATAATTCATTGGAGAGAGGGTAAATTTGTGCACCTTTGAATTGATAAGCTAATAGCGCTCCGTGTTGGTGAACCTTCACCGAACACTCGCCTTACTTGAAGAAGACCATTAGCAAACAATTAAGTAGTCGGGAACATGAGAAGGACTTCTATAAAAAGTCTAGAATCGAAATTAAGTTGTCCCCTACCGATGAAACATTATAATGTTCTTAGAGCAAAAGTCTCTTTGTAAGTTTACAATATTATTTTTGGTTTGTGGTTTTCTGTTTCGAAATAAATCCTGCCTGTTTGATGCTGCAATTACATAATCAGAAATTTTCATCACAGAAGAATAAATGCATATCTTTTTTAATTCTGGCACCATAGCGAATAAAATCATGAATATTCCCGTTTGAATTGATTTGCCGGCTGAAATTGCTTCTAAAAAAATATAAATACGTCGGCAATCGTAGCAAACAAGAAGTTACGGCAACACTAACCACAAACATTGAAATTTTCAAAGAGCGATAACACAAAAAAATCATTAGTCGGTTTTCTCTGCCGGCATCAGAGCAGAAAATTCAAAAACTGATATGAATCAACAAATTTCGTACGTGGGTACGATGCACTTAAATCATATATTGAAATATAAAACATTTGAAATAGCCTTTGAGTGGGTTTATTTTACAAAGAAAAAAATGAGAGAAGACATATCTTACCGCAATTTGCCTCAAGGAGATGACTAAAAAGAAAATTCTTCACTTTTATCGCAAACTAAATCTCCTGCTAAGACCGGCCTTCCAGAAATGGTGCTTTCCACCTGGCGGTTTCCATGTTTACCAACTTGCACAGACTTAAACAGAAGAGACAATTGGCCATAGGCTTATATCAAAATATGAAAGGAAAAAGTAATTTACGTAAGCGTCTGACTTCAATTGAAAAGCGAACACAGGGAGTCTTATGTTATGAATTTTCAAAGTAATTTCGCAGTCATAGCCAACGGCACTTTGATTGTAAAGTCGCTTACGGTTAGCGAATACAGCCAGCATCTAGAGTGCCGTTGAATTTATTGTAAACAACAATGGAGACTTGTACAAACAACTAGCTGGCGACAAAATTAATACTTGAATATAGAACCAACTATAACGTACAAAAGCAAAAACAGACAGAAAAATAAATAAATAAATTTGAAAAGCAGTGTTTGAATTTTTCAGTGTCCTGTGAGATTTGCCTTTCATACTTATATTGTAATTTGAAACTATGCATGTTTTCTACCAAATGCATCTAAAATGTATTTTTTTTTAACAATGTCAGTCAGTCGTAAATAAAATAGGTGAGTAAATTTGCCTGAAATTGCCTACCAGTCAGTAAGGTAAGTACTGTTTCACAAAGAAAAAACAGAACAAACAAACTCTTTTCTTAAATCAATTTGAAGATTAATTATCCGAAGATTTGAGTATTACGCGATCATAATCTTACACAACTTATGTTATGTGATAGCGTGCGCGTGCGTGGTGTAGGCTAGAGTGCAAAAGACTCGTGATATCGAGGTTTCGTTTCGCCATGTTTCCATCCTATAAACAAGTTAGCTTTTGAAATTAACTTTAAAAGTCTGGAACTGTCATGGCTTTATTGCCGGTCGCGAATCCTGACGAACAATTGATTTATTGAAACTCTTTGGAGAAGAAGTAGAAAGTTTGAGAGATAAGCGTCCTCTTTTGCGGGGTCGGAACAGAACGTGATAACGTCAAATAAGTCTTGTGTCCTTCCCTTTTCTCACGCCTGTATTTTATGAGGTACTATTTTTAGAACAAAGCTTCGATGTACTCAAAAAATTTTTATATTGTTTGGCTTCCTAGTTTTGGCCTCCTCGAGAGTTCTCGCTTCACATAACAAAGATGATTTTCTTAACGAGTTGAATGGTATTCAAGAGATTAACTGTTACCTCCCTGAAGTGTTGGTACTCAGGGAATATTCCTTTTCACAAATAACACGCTAAGGAAAATGCCTCTGTGAGTAACTAACAAGCAACTTTAATTCAGTATTTGTCATACAAGTATGGAACAACAAGAAAACGAATCTTGGACTTGAGGCGTCAGCAAGGAATAACTCGTCTGTTTCGAGCTAAAACACGATTATATTTCAGACACAGTAGCTGCTTTCGATCACGGTTCATCCCCGATGCACCCATGATGCAGATTGCGAGATTTTTTACCATCAAATGTGTTATCATTTTAGTCTGTAGAGAGGAGGATAATCCAATACGCGGCGCGTGATGTTAATTGTCGTTTTAATTGATCCTTACGATTCAAATTGTACCTTTAAGTTCGCCCCTATATCGTGCTAATAACCTGCTTTCCGCTTTTGTTGCTCCCGAAATATCTATTACGACGCCCTTGAAGGGTGGAACTTTTGTTCTCTGACACTGTTGGAAGTACCGTTCTCCAAGCGGGGAGAAAGTAAAATTTCGACGATTCTTTTTCCACTTCAATGAAACAATAAGGTTATTATTTTAAACTTGGAATCTTTCTTCTTCGTAATTTTTTTAGTGTTTAAGTTGAATTGGATCAATAGAGAGTATGAATTTACATGCATCTCGTTCTTAGAAACGCAAATTAGGTACGGTTGTCCACTGTTCCGTTGGCACTATTTTGAGCATGATAGTAAGGCAAAAGAATCAAGCGTTATACTGGAATGAGAGTACAAAAAATTAAACGAATAAACAAGAAATGAGCGAAAATATAGAATGACCATTTATTTGAATCTAGGTTTTAGAAAAACTTTGCAAAAAAACATAAGGTTTCCTAATGGGAAACCAACTCTTACCGATGCAGCTCTCATCCGCTGCTTCTAAGGGGGTGTTTTCATCGTTGGAGAACTCATGTAAGGACGACCAAGCAAGGGAAACGGAATGCTACGATGCAATAAGTGTTAGATTCGTTAATGATACGACTTTAGTATGCACTGTTTTTTTCCTGTTTTCATTTACGCCTGTATTAAACAAAATAATCCCCCTTACTGTGATCTATTCCTTTATTTTGTTTATTCATTATGATAATTATAATGGTGAATAAAATGATAAAATAATAGAGATAGAGAATAATAATGATGCTTGTTCTTCATTGATACAGTGAAGAAAGGGGTAGTCTAAAAGCTTTCTACTTTATCTGTTGTTTTCTTGCCCAAACAAGTATGATTTAGTTCTCTCAGATTGAGGGACGTGCACTGGTTTTGAAAATGCACAGCGAGAAGATGTTTGTCAGCGATTAGCGCGGATTTGCCTTCATTCCCTTTCACAAAGATTTCCCATGGCGATCTTAGGGGGGCGGGACATTTTTTGCTATCAATAAATCTTCTTTTTTTGTTCCAGCAGTTTCGCCTTAGTGTTCCAAATGACATCTACTGTTTCGCGAAAACCACAAAAATGCCTTACAAGGACCTTATAACAGCGATCCATTTTCTACTTGATTCATTCGCTGGTTAAGATCAGTGGGTAAGGTTGTCGCATTTTCGAAGTGAGAGAGACGAGAAACGGCATTTTTTTCAAGGTAAGATATTAATTATTTTAAAACTGGTGAGTTATCACAGGTTAAAACGAGCGAGATTTTGTGGTGTGGGGAACAAAACTTCGTGGTTTTATTTTGTGTATAAGTTTTGAACTCTCTCCGTAGAGGTGGCTTGAACAGTTCTCAGCAATGTGTTTGTACAAATTAAAGAAGAGTGACAGAGCGCTTGATATCACAAAACCTCGGAGTTTACTCAATGAGAATGTATTCGTGAGGTTAAAAAAAAAAAAAGAAAAAAATCGAAAAATTCTGATGGTACATGTTTAGTAAGACGAGTCTGTTCGAGCAGTATCATGCTTCACTGCCACTAATAGCGTTAAGAAAGTAAAACTTCATACATCGATGGATCAGTGATATCCACCTTGGAGTGATAATTGCAAATGCTTACAGAAATCATTGCATTAACAATCTTACGCGCTGATACTTTACCCTCAATTTACCCAGTGACGCAGATGAATTCCACAATGAAGCGTTCTAACATCTTAGGCGGTGCTTTCGCCAACCAAGCTGGACTTGCAATAACCTCAAGTCAGACCGAGTTAAGTCTTTCGTACTCTCTGATGAAAGACACTTGAACGGCCAAGTTCCATCACTCTCGCACTCAATTTAAATCTAATCTTGCTTCGCTGTATCTGTTGAGCGATCAATCGTATAATCTCTCCTATCAAGGTTTCTCCACCTGAGTGATCTTTCGCGCCTTTTTAGATGCATGGAATTAGAAGCATTTGACTCTTTCACCCTTAAGACTGACTTGCATCTAATTCATCCTCACAATACCATCCCTGAATCATAAACTCACGAGAGTAAAGGAAATGATTACCAACTAAAGAAGCTCTTGACTGTTAAACAAAGTCTCATTGTCAGCACCTTAAAAAACGTCTAGAAGACCATATGAGAGCAGTATGGAGAATATGCATACTAAGTCATGATGTAAGGACTTCAAACAGTTTCTAATTGACTGGGTAACGAAGCAATTAAAACGGTTTAGCTTTATTAGTTGGTCTAATATCAGTAAAATACAAAAGACTATAGTTGCATCGAAGATTCCTGCTTTAGGCAGAGCAGGATCTTTATTTCTACATGTTCAAAATAAAACAGAAAAGAAAGGATAAATTTTCAGAGCATGACAAAGCTTATCTATTCACATAATTCTGTTTCACAAATTCAAGTTAAAAGCTTATCAAATTTCGTTCTCAACAGCTTTTGTTAAACAAATAATAGAGTCACGCTCATGAAGTTTTTAATCAACACACAATTTTTTTTTCGTGTTTTGCTAAGTTGTTTCAACAACTTACCGTGCTCCGCTAGTATGAAAAACTGGGAGTAGAAGTAAAAAGAGTCTGTGACTTGAGTTTTTTGGCTCGCTAACCGGTGTATCTGACTTGTTCACCAAGGCCTGATACATCAGGTGAAACGGGTTAAGTGCACGAAAGAGGATTTCTTAATCCAACCTCATGTGGGGGTTTCGACTATGTGTTATTTAAAGATCGCGGTTTGAATTAAAATTTAGACATTTACATTTGAATGGCTGAATATAACAAAATAGCTCATTAACCAGCTTTCATCGATTTCCTTTGGTCAAAGATTTCTTAAAATAGACTTCAACATTCAAATGTTTTCAAAGAGTTTTACTTTACGTAATTTTCTTGCAGGTTTTAACAAAAAAGAAAAATTGGTTTTCAGAAGGGAGTAGCAAAGAATAACCCCTGAAAATTGAGTATTCAAAAATATTCAGTGAGGGACGGTTGCAAATTTGTTTTTGCTCGATTTTCTTCACTTACAAAGTTTTTAAAAGATAAGAAAACCTGATGAACTATTAATCAAAATTCTTGTAGCGGTTAAAGATTTTAATTCCTTGAGGGTCCATTCCACTGGCACGCAACTTATGTGAAAGAGGAATGCAATCACATTCGTCAACCAAATGACTCCATTATCATATTTCAGATTTTTTTCTTCCAAATTAATTGCAGTTTATTTTCAAGTCACAGTTTGAATCCATCACCCTAAATACTTTTTACTTACATCAATTAGGGGCTATGCATAGCCACAAATTATGAGACACTGTTCTCAACAGGTCTGTAACAATCGCATTGTAGTTCGTTGAATCTGTCGCGCCTTCGCACATATTTCTCGCCAAAATTAACAATGCTCTTTGCGTGCTTTGTTGACCAAGTTTGAGGCCATTGAGCTTTTTGCAAACAAACTGCCCTGAGAACAGAAACAATCTGATATTTCCTTGACACTGATCAGATCGATAAGTATGTTGTATATCAAATAAAACAATAGTCAGGGCATATTGGAAATATTCAAGAAAATATGTACTCCGGAATTTGATGTCTTCAAGCTAAATTTCCATATATGGTTTAGTCCCTTTGTTTAAGTGTCAAATAAAGTGTTTTATTTAGCCCAAGTGAATTAGGGCATTTCGCCACGATGCAATGATAGTTCTTTTCAAATATGAAATGCGCGGTTTGAACAATTAATTTACAATTGACTTGAAGCCTTTTTTTCCCTTGATTTACGGACATCACAGAGTCATTTGAACGGTTATGCCTCGTTGCGGCTTCACAAAGCTTCCAAGAGGGCGAGAGTAAAAACTTTCCACTGGCAAATATTGATATATGAATATGCTGTAAAAGCAAATTTTGATTGGCATATACTGTGTCATATACAACTGGAGTGGCTAGCCATTAGCTGGGATCCTCTCTAAGTCAATTCGTTCCACAAAAGTCATTAGAGAAGACGGTTGTAGAGCCTTTAAAGAGAAAATTTTTTCAAAGTGTTGTTGAACAGGTTATTTCAGTAGGAAAAATTATAGGAAAACCACACTTAAAAAGTGACACGGAGATGAGCTTTTTATACGTATCATTCCATGTTCAAAACCTACCGTTTCAAACTTCAAGTTTGCTTTGAAGGAAAGTGAGCATCTTTTGTCCTTAGTATTACATCATTGGGAACCATGACTGAGTACATCAATACATTGATGAAAAATAAAACGCTTTAAGATATAGACCCTCAAATATGTTTTGAAATATGGCTTACTTTTTTCAAATCTCAAAGTATCAGGGAAATAAGATTAAACAACTTGAAGGTAAAATAAATCATTGCGCGCTCAAAATAGGGCTCCTGCCAAAAGTGAAACAACACGTTTAAGATAAACATCAAGAGCCAAACAAACAGGAAGAAATTGACGTGAAATTAACTCTAACAGGTAACGGAAAATTACTTGAGCTTTTAAAACATTTAAAACGACAAATAACGAGCTGAAGTCTAAGTGCATAGTAATTTATACTTCCTAAGAATAAATTTGATAACAGATTACAGATTACTGTTTCCTTTTTTTTCATTTTTCAGTCCTCAGTCCTCAGAGAAGATGTTAAGTTCAGTTCTTGTCTTGTCCCTCGTCTTTTACCTCTGCGATGCCGCCCCAGGACGAGTTGGCTTTCCATTGAATCGTTTTCCAGGCGCGCATAAACTGCAAATAAAGAAGCGCGGCTCAGGTAGAGTTTAATAAAATATTTTTATAAACTACTGACGTACGATCCCTATGACTCATTCTCTGCCACTCTTAAGAAGGATTTGATTGGATCTCGCAACATCAAGAAAAAAACAGAGCTGATTCTGACAATCCCCCTCCCCCCCTCACCACAACTGCTGGAGAGGAATCATCGGAAGAGGAGACTCTATTGAGCAGTAGACCTATATATTCAAATTGAAACTTTCACTTTCTGCGCCATTTTGGTTCAGACAGACCAAATTTCTTTGATATTTTGTTTGTTTATGTTGTCGTTTCGAAACACATAGGGTTTTACCATGAAAATGATTAAATACCTTTTTTTTCATTTGAACCTAGTAAAAGGGTTTGAGAGCATTTTATCTTGATTGGACTCTTTAATTTTGGGCTTCACTTTGGTAGATTTTTTTCCTTTAATTCAGTTTTTTTTCCCTTTAATTCAATAATTTTTTAATATATTTTTGCATACGTGATTTGAAGTGGATTCAAGCGCATGTCTGGATGCCCATAATACCAAGCGCGCTCTACATAGCGCATCGCCGCTAACGTGGGATGACGATCTGGCTCGCAAAGCTCAACACTGGGCAAATCACCTGGCTAGTATTGGATCTCTGCAGCACGATCCGAATGCTAACGCGGGAGAAAACCTGTACATGTCATACAGCTCAGTGCCTCAAGAAACTTCATGCCAAGACGCGGTTGACGCCTGGTAAGAGCAGCACAGGACAACCATCCGAATAGACATGTCAAATGATAAGGTCCTCGATAAACTCTCAATGACTGGGAATGTTGTGGTACCTGGGTGTAATCTCAATTTATTCTGACTGAATTTGATGGACAACAACGAAATTTTCATATTCCACGACTTAATAAGGCCGCTTCAATAATGATAACGTAAATTGGCCTCCGTAAAGAGATTCCAAAGCTGAAGTATTGAGCGTTAGCTATTCGTTAGAACGCGTTGGGAAATTTGGTTTGTGGGTCCACAATCTACAATTTCTCGATTCACATTATCAAATCAGTCGATAAACAAGATTATCTTGTAATACTTGCTACCGATGCGGCACCACAGTTTCGTTAGAAACTTGCTTCCTTTATCCATGTCGATATCAAGGGCGCTGTAAATCAGCATTTTTTCTTTTTGTAGGTACGCTGAAATAAAGGATTATGATTTCAATAATCCTCGGTTTTCCTCTAAAACTGGTCATTTTACGCAGGTAAGCACACTTTTGTCGAGCGGCGATTGGAACGGGGTAGTGTTCAAGCTATTTCATCTGCGGTGTATATTTCTGTAATAGTTGTTGAGTGTTTCCAGTCAAGCATGAATACCTGGCAGTAATAAATACATCAAAAGGAGTCTTAACACTCACAGAAAGAAAATCTTGTTGAGAAATCTGTCCATTAGAGAGCGTTCCCCGCTTTGGTATCAGCCTCGTTCCCAGGGTCCTCTATTTTCCTCCCTCGAGAAGGTACGGGAGAGAGAGGACCTGTGAACGAGGTTGCTTTAGTGAATCCACGTGACCGTTGTTGCGTCATTTAAACGCTGCTTAACAACTTCATGCTCATAAAGCAATCATCTGTTTGAAAGTGAGGATAAGTGAAAAGCTTTTGACATAAAAATAAGTTTTCTTTCATTCGCTTCAAAGAAAAAAAACTCACATTCACCTGGAAGATTCTTTTGGCCTGGTTTTGAAGGGCAGCTTATTGCAATTGCCTTTTAGTAGAAAGCTCAGTTATAATATTTCTAACACACCACCTTTCTACGAAATTACATTTTTGCTCCTTTAAGCGTTGAAGACAAAAGGAGGTAGGTTACCTACAAAATATTTGGAAGAATCTAGCAGAAAAATTTATAAGAACAAAGATCTTTAGAAGTTGAAGTAGTTACGAAATGATAAACGTATATCTTTCAGATGACAGTTCATAGTTCGTGTTTGGAAAGAACTATTTTCTTTTTGTTGAAAATCTGTAGGTTGTGTGGCAAGCAACAACTAAACTTGGGGTGGCTAAAGCGACAACAGTTCGAGGGCAGGGTTATGTAACCTACATTGTCGCTCGATATGATCCACCAGGAAACTATCAAGGGCAGTTTGCTGAAAACGTTTCGAAAAACTGATCAAGGTAGGTAATAAATTGGTGATTCAAATGGAGGTGATTCTGAGTCTTGCGAAACTAGTTTATTTCTTAGCAAGGCTGTACGGATCCAATTGATGGAATATACACATACAATGTTAGAGGTAAACAATCTATCAAGGAAGAAAAACACATTGAGGTGAAAAAAAAAAGCTTTATATTATCCCCCAATCAAATTAAGTGTTAGCCCAAGGTCCATCAGGTCATGGCAAGAGATCGATGAAGAATGTAATGGCTTACGCTGTCTTCTTTCCTAGATGACGCCGGTCTCTGGATTCTGTTGATGTATTCTATTGGACCCGTAGTATGCACCACAAAGACAATTGCACTCAGGAACAAGATCATTAATTTTAGTTATGTTAGACCAATATTATATCATTCACAACATTGTGACAGGAGCGCTGGTAGGAGCTTGTAAATGTGACATTTCTTCTAAATAGAATACAGAATAAAGCATTAAAAATGGTATTTGTGAAGGTTTTAGGACTTACAAATGGCGGAAAGTTTATGGCTGAGATTTTGGGACCTATAATTCCTCTGGAGATATTTCTTATCAAAAAATCTCCTCCCACGACAAAAAACCGTGCCCCACCTGAATAAATCCATCAATCACGCGCCTGTATTTTTATTTTTTGACAAGGCTAAGAAAAAAAACAAAAAGAAAAGAAAAACACTGCGTATGCGAAAGTTGAGGAGATGTCATTTAAACGTTGGCTCAAAAGAATTGATTTCAAAAAATATATATTTTTTTAGTTTCGTGCGCCAGTACTTTTGTTTTTATTAGATAGAATTGATGGGAAAACTTTAGCATTATAAGTTGGAGCTTGGTAATGACTGATTCTTAGTACATAATTTATCAGTCCAGAGGCACTTCAGTCAGAAAAGCTCAAGCATACATAACTGAAGTGGCAAGAGATTTCAAGCCATTTATCACATCTGAAACAAATGATCTCCACATCCTCAGGTGATTACTCGAATTTTTTTTCAAGTCTCATCGCGGGTTCGAGGTGGGAAGGAGATTTGCTAATCTGACTTCGGAAGTACCTCTTAGGGACATATTTCAATCCAAGACTGTACTTTCTAAAACAAAGCATTTGGTGTATTTCCTGCCAGTTCTGCCGTAATGCAATAATCACAAAATCAGTAATGGACTGATTTCATTTCTGTCAACAATAATAGGTTTTGGAAGTATGTTGCTTCCTTACTCGTGATCTTTCATTCCTGCTAGCAGAAATTATTGGAGAACATAGAAGTACCGGCAATTTAGGGGGAAAAACTTCCGTTCGGGAATAATTGTTAGACTGAATTTATTTTTGAGTTGATGGAACATTTGATAATATTCTCATTACACTCAAGGCAGGAACTTTCCTGAATATTAAGAAAAACTCATATCTATAAAGGTTTATCTCAGCAGCACGTCACCCACTACTTCAAAATGTTGAAAATAGAATGGAGAGCATTTCCTTAGCTCCAGTCATGCAATATTTGCAAACGAAAGTAAAAAGGCCAAATTTACAACAGCGACATTGAACTCAACTAGGGCGCATGCTCAAACTCCTACTTTCGAACATCGGTATAATTTTTCAAACCACTTAAAGATATCAGAAGCAGAATTGGAAATGTAAACACCAAGGGCGGTTTTTATTTTCTTGCCCACTAATTCATACCTTCATTTGGTTATTGGCTTGCGTGTATAGCACAACCAAAACATTCCTCACCAAAGTCGATCAACTTTACATCAATATTCTTTTTTTCAAGGCGTTTTGATCTGGAAAGAGAAGGTATGTATGTCACAGACCTCATGGTGATCTCATGAAAGGATTTATTGTAATAAGCAGCCTCTCAGACCTTAAAGTAACAAGGTCAGTGTTTCTTCCGAAAAACGTAAAATGGAACGTTCCTTTGAGTCTAAGGTGTGGCTTTTTAAAATCTTATTTGAAGTGTCTTGTAGAGAAATTCTTTGAGAATAATTAAGTCATTGTAAGGTTACTTCTGGTAATAGGAAAAAAGTTTCGCCTTAAATGTTGGCATTCTGTTCTGTAAAGCGTAATCAGACAACGGAAACAAATGCGCATACATTAAGATTTTTGAACGAATAAAAATCGTGAAAGAAGAACTTTTCTCGCTGCACGGGAGAAAAAAGAGAATGGAATGATGGATCATTCTAGATCATAGTCTTAGGAGCTCATTTCCTGCTTTTTTCCTCCTTAAAAATTACGTCTGTAAGGGTTTTCCATTTTTTTAACGGATGTTTTACAGTGCAAGCTTATGGAACAACATAATGGTTGCAGATGAAAATATCGCCAAAATTTTTTCAATTTGAATCTGAAAATGAATATTTATTTCACATTTGAAGAAATATACGCATTTTTATTTTTGGCTTCTGGAGAAAAGCAGGTGTTTGAGGCTGTTTCGGGTTGTCATTGAAATAACAACCTTAAGCTGATTTCATAATCAGTTGTGGTCTGACTGTGTTCATATAATCACTGATTGAGGGTGTTTCGAAAGTTTACATGGGAATGCGAGACAAATTGAAACAATTTCCTATTTCTTTTTGCAATTACAGAACTACAAAGTTTGGGCAGTAATCTGCATTGAGATCCAGAGTCTGTGTTCTTATGTGAGATAAAATTGAAATATTTTTTTTTCTCCTTTTATTTTCCCTAAAAAAATTTTAAACTGGATTATATCAGCAGACTCGAAGGCGCTGTAAGTTTATTTTGTTTTTCTTGCGACAGGAGACACATGAGTGACTGGAAGAATGGAAAATTAAAAATATTTTTATATTTCATATATAGAAACAGGGTGTGCTTTCTATCAATGTGGAACTGCAGTAAAAAGGTTTAAAAAGGATTTACGCTGCTACAAAGTGGTTTGACGGTGTTTCAACTTCTGTAATTCGACGAGCTCATCAAGACACTGTTAAATATTTTTTTTCATCCTTTTCGTCTTCTTTTAACACATATATGATGGGAAATGAAATATCTGCTGAGACTCATTTATTCATGTATGTTTATGCTTTTCTTTTTTATCGATTGGAAGGAATCTTGGCAAAATTAAGAAAAATGAAATTATGTGGTTGACGATGTGTCACAAGTTGTACCCAAGATTCGACATATCATCTTCGTTCTTTCTTTCAAAACTTACCACAAAACCACAATTCCCATTAAGCTGAAATATGTTTCCTCTCTTATCTGGTCACTCCACAGCAGCTATTTAAGTGAAATTGCAAGTATAGTAGTACTTCTGTCATAAAAGCAACCACTCGCTTCAAGTGGACCATTTAGTTTTAATCCATGCAGGGAAACATTCTTGCACTAGAGCAGGCATCTTTGTCTAAAGGTAGGGAAATTTTTAAGAAGGTAAAAAGTCTGTGGTGAAATTTCTGTGAACAGGTCATAACTTCGCTACTATGTAACAAATATTTCTTAACATGCAGCCAGGTTTTCACCTTTTCCTAAAGTGATGCTCTTGTCACTTTTCTTTTCTTTGTTTTTTTGCTAAATTACATGCACTTAATAAAACGACCACGATTTCTTTAATTCTACTGTACTGTTTTTCTCCCTTTATTTCTTGTTCTCTCGTCATGTCCAGTAAGCGCGTCAGTTTTCATTTACCTACGTGATTTCACCTGCATTTTATTTTGAAGTTACAATTTATTACAATGTGCCGCTGTCATATTTTGTGCTATTACTATTTGACTCCTTACTTTGCTCTCAAAAGAGTAAAACAGACAAGGAAGATTAAAAAAAAAATCCTTTTAGAAGGGTAAATAAGATGAGAGGCATGAATTGTATTATAGAACTTTTTAAAGAGTTACAGTCATCTGAGTTATGGGCTTATTGAGTTCAATCGACTTGATGTATTCTGGCGTGGTGTTATTTTTTAATTTATCCGCATTATTGCATGAAGTTTCATGAGGGTTTACTCCAAAGAGAAGATCAAGGGAACACTTTCTTATATCAATCACTTCACGTAAAAATTAAAAATTTTTTTAACCGTTTGTTGTAAAAAAAGTTAATTGTAATTTTTTTCTTTTAATCGCAAGGGAAATAAATAAACTGTTAGCCGTAAAATGATCATATTTTTAAACGTTTGCGGTAAAAGTCTCTCACCCTTTGAGACCTGCTGAAACCTTATCCATCATCCAGTTTGCACTAGCTAACAACGAGCCTATTGAAAAAGGTAAAGGTTGTTGATCATCAAGTCTTTTTTTTTCTTTGTTTATTTTTTGATTAAGATAGCGTGCGAATTTCCGCAATATGGCAATCGGGTTTGTTTGATTTTGTTTATAATTTGTTTCTTATCAAGGATATTGGCATCAATTGGGTTATTTTATTGAACGTATCTCCAAAAGTTAAACCAACTTGAAAGCAGATAGCCATCTACTTAATTAAAGTAATTCGTCGGTCATCATAATATTTCAAACTCCAGCATCCAATTAGAATGCTTATAGTTACCGCAGCACTTTTTTGTCTGTGGTTAATTTCTTTATTAAAAATATCACTGCCACCTTATCATTTGTACTTAAACTCTCTGTAGCAGCTTCGAAGTTAAACATTTTACAAGAGAAATTAAAACCAATTGTACAGCAATATGTGAAAAACTGAGAGGAAATCGTAAAATCGTAAAGATAATTAACACTAACAGCAACAAAAGAAAAAAAAGAACAAAGCTAAAATAACTTATACTCCTTTTTATTTAGGCATTCACCTCATTAAGCATGTTACCTTTGCCAAATTTTTTTGCCACTCGTTCCGGTCTGGCTAATGTAACTGGTCGATTATTTTATGATAATGGAACATTTATTAAGACTTATCAAAAACGCATCGCTGAACAGAAAACTGGAGGGTCATGACATGAGTGACACTATGCTCCAACAGCAAAGGTCGAATTAGGAGCTATATGACCAAATATGACCAACTGTTTCTACCGATGAGGTTTTGGAAAACAGACCAAGTGCAGCTTTCGAGTTTTGGAATGTGCACAATCATTTCAAAGTTTGCATCTCATCATTTTGGAAATTCCCGCCAAAAACTTAGGGAGAGCAAATTGATTACAAGAGGGGCCTACCAAAAAGTTAGTGGAATGGCTTTCCTAAGGCTACGTGGCCAAACAGAAACATTTTGTGTGCGTGTACCCTGCAGTGATTGACAAACTATTCAATGGAAGCGAGTGAGTAAAAAGTGTAGTGTAGGTCACGTGTTTAACTGTTGCGCGCCATTGATCAAATATAATGCGTATTTCTTTGAGATATGTGTAAATCAAGAAGTGTCTTACTAAGGACTATGGGTGATCTTCGCCATGTTGCCAGGCTTTTGCGTGAACGAACAGAGAATTCGTCTTTAAACCGGATAAAACACATACAATTCAGTGCGAGCAAATGAGCTTAACGGGAAAGCCCATACTTATTCGTAGGCCTGGCTAAAAGATTGACCACA